AGATTACAGGCATACACTACCACACCAGTTTGCCTCAGCTTCTAGACTAGCTGGGAACAGTGTTTTGGTGCTACTCTGCCTAGCTAGTTCTTATTCTTTATTTCCTTAGCCCTAGAACTGAGTTTGAGATCAAGTGTACTAGAGGCTGAATTTTTGGAGCATGCTAGGCAAGCACTCTATTACTGACATATGTTCCAGTTTAGCATACCTAGGAATTTTATAAGCACAGTAGTTCTTCTTTTTTTTAATTTAAGGAGAAAAAGAAAAAAAAAAATAGAAAAAGGGTACAAGTTATACAGAATTTCAGAAAACATAAACAGTAGGAAATCACTAGTTAATAGATTACATATTGTTATCTTAGAAATAGTTGTTCAAGTTACAAAATTAAAGCATATAAAGTGGACTTTCAAACAGTGAGACTGGAAACAGTTTTGTTCAAAGATCCAACAAAACTAGTAATATGGTTATCTATCTTATACACTTAAATATATATGCAGTTATATTCTTTAGAGCACTTTCTTTTCCTCTCTTTTGTACAATGACAATTACACATTTTGGGTTTTACTACTCCCACAGTTCTTATTACTTTTTTTTTGAAGACAGTAAAACCAAATGAAGCACAGTAGTTCTGAGCCTACAGATTCCTGCTCCATAGCCCAGTCTCCAGGAAGATTGCCTTATGGGCTTCCTCTGTCCATCTCATTGGTTTTCCTTCTCTGGTCTGGCCCCAGGCAAATGAATGGCTAAGCCTTCAGATGCAGAGCTGTTTGCTGTGAGAGAGCAGCTGGCTGACACAGCCTTCAGGAGCATCACCTTCAGGATCTGCAGCCCACTGGGACAGAGACCAGTCTTTTCCAGAAGCCTCCAGCCAATGAGTAGGCACAACTGGGTCACTAGGGCCTGGCTGTTTTCCCCAGCTGGAACTCCTCTATGGGAACTCTGCACTGGAGCTCCCTATTGGTTGGCTGATGCTTTTTCAGAGTGGCATGCAATATGAGACTTCTCTTACTCAATCTCTTTCCTTTCCTTCTCTTCCCATAATGTCAGCACTGAACTATGGTCTGAAGGCTTTTTCCTACCCAGTCCTGTGTCCTGTCCTTTTATCTCTCACAAGCATTACTTGTACTTCCAATTTTGTTTTGGCAATGGCTTCCTGGAGGACCTAAGGAACACTACCTCCTTACCCTGTATCTCTCCCAGCCTGCCAAGACCTCATTCTCCAGGGGATGAATTTTCTCACTGCCTCTGTTATGGTTGATACATTGTGTCAACTTGAGAAGTTTAGAAGTTTGACTGAGAGACTCAGCAGAGAGCCAGGGTTCTTTGTAAATATCCTCATCCTGTGCAAAGAAGGGCAAGATTTTGTGAGTGCTAGGTGCCCAGAAGGAGGGGGGTGGCCTGTATACACTGTAAGGGAGAAAAGGATTTCTCTTTCTCCCCTTTTTCTTTGCCTGCTGCCTTGAAGTGTTCCCCATGCCATGTCACCCTGCCTTGGAGCCAAATGATTATGGACTGAAACCTCCACAAACAGCTAAATAAAGCTTTCCTTCTTCCATTTTGGATGTCGAGTGCTTTGTCCCAGCATTGAGAGAAAAGTAACCAAGACATCCTCTCCGCAGGCCATCCCCAGTATGCTGGTGTTCCCCATTCCCCTCTCATGAGCACTGCCTCTCATGTCTCACTCTGTGTCCAGCACATAGTATACTCAGTATTTATTTGTTTTTGAATGAACACAGTGTGCTCTGGAGCAAGGAACTGTCCATGCCATCCTCCCAGCACAGGGAGTCTTCCAGATAAGGCTGGGAGTGCCAGCTCCAAAGGCCATAGGGAGGATCTGCCAAAGGAGGACCCCTGAAACAAGGAAGCTGGGGAAAGTGACACATCCTCAGGGCCTGAGGAGGTATACCCACATGCCAGGGGAAATCAGGCCTGGTTTTCCTCTTGATTTTCTGGGTGACTCCCAGCAAGGTACCCTTCTTCTTGGGCCTCCCTACATCCATTTCGTTTATGGGTGCTCACCTAACCTGACTCCCCAGGGAGGGGCAAGGATTGTGAGCCTTAGACAGGTCAGGGGTGGGGAAATGTATACGTGGGTGGGGCTCACTGAAGGCTCTCTGAGGTCCTGGGCTTACTGTCACAAAGTAGAGGTGTGTGTGGAGGGGTGCAGGTAAAGAAAGAGAAAGAGAAGAATTAGGAGGGAGAAGGGAAACACAAAAGTTGAGTAAGAGAAGGAGAGAGAGAGAGAGAGAGAGAGAGAGAGAGAGAGAGAGAGAGAGACAGAGAGAGAACAATTAAAAAAGAAATGGGAAAATAGTCAGATGTGTGTGGTAGGTGGTACGTGTCTGTCATCCCAGCTACTTAGGAGAGATGAGACTGAGACAAGAGGATTGTAGATTTGAGTCCAGCCTGGGAAACTTATCAAGACTGTTTCTCAAAATAAAATAAGGATCTGGGGATGTATCTCAGCGGTAAAACACTGAGATTCAATTTTCTCCAGATTCAATTCTTAGTAGTGGAAACACACACACACACACACACACACACACAGAGAGAGAGAGAGAGAGAGAGAGAGAGAGAGAGAGAAGGGTGGGGGATTAAGAAAGAAGCAGAGATGGAAAAGGTCAACAAATAATTAAAAGAAATAGGGAAGAAGGCAAAAAGAAAGAAGACAGATGGAGACAAACACATGGAGCACTAGTAAAAAATTGTAAAGACAGAGAAAGCAAGAGAAAAGGAAAGAAATGGACAGGTAGAGTCAGAAAGATAAGGAGAGGGAGGGAAGGAGAGACAGAAATTAGAGAATCACAGCAGATAGAGAAGGAAACCGGGAGATAACAAAGAAAGAGGAGCTGAAAGATGACGAAGCGTGACAGGAACTGACGAGACAGGGAGGGAGGAAGGAAGGGACTCCCTCACAGATCCCCCCACTCCTGATTCCCGTTGGCACCCTCCCCTACCTGGTCCCACCTGTCTGGACTCAGTAGATTAGGCCTTCCTCCTGTCCAGCCTGTCCTGTCCTGCTGGTTTGGGCCTCTCCAGCCTCCTCCTTCTGAGGACTCTGAGGGGTGCCATGGAAGGAGGCAGGGTAGGAGCAGATCCTGTCGTGTAAGCTGACTGACATGGCTTCTCGGGTGGAGTGGGAACAGGACACCCAGTGACACCCTCCCTGGAGGCCTGAGCAAGCTCCAGCCTGCCTCCCTTTGGGGCCCAGATGGGAAGAGACCTCCAAAATCAACTCCACTGTACCTCTCATTGTGTAGAGGGGGGAAACAGGCCCAGATAGAGGCAAGGACAAAACCAAAGCTACACAGCCAGCTAGTGGCCTAGCCCCTAGCCCCAGAGTCTGCATACAGACAGAGCTGAGAGATGTTACAGACGCTGTGGCCCAAACACTTTGACATTTCTTTCTCATGAGAAAGCTGCTTCCTGCCCCTGGGTATCTTGAGGCTTTAGTAACTGTGTGTCCGGTATCAGGCGTGTGCTAAGAGTCTTACCCAACATGGTATGAGATGACTACTATGATTATGTTTATCATACAGAAGAGAAAACTAAGTTATAGAAAAGGTTTCTAAGCCCTTGATGACACAATGGCAGCATGCAAACTGAATCAATCTACCTGACTTCCAAAGCTGGGTGCCTTTTATGTGCCCAAGTCTCCCTTGGTGATGGGAAGGAAAGGAGTCTGTACCATGGAAAAAAAGGTGGCAGTTCCTAGGAAATGATAGATACCAGACTGAGGGCTTATTTCAAATATCAGACTTCTACCCAGGGGATTCAACTTGGAGTAGCTGTGTTCCTGTCCTTAGGAACCTCTGTCTTCCTCTCATTCCTGTCACCACTTGTCTCTATTCCACACTCCCTTTCCCAGCCTCTGGAGAGGAGTTTAGCTCCTGGGTTACACCCATCCTTTCCCCCTTCTCTTCCTTGTCAGCAGTTATGACCTTTGGATCGCAGCCCCGGGCTGGTTCTGCAGCTTCTGCTGCACACCAAACTCTAGCTCCTCAGCTCTGCCCTGCCTCTGCCTCCCACGGCTGTTTCTCCTGGAGAGACTTAGATGGAGATTAAGAGGATATTGAGGAAGCAGTAAACTGACAAACAGATGGACAGACAGACAAGTTACTGTCTTGGCCAGCTCTGATTTCCAGCTGAGCTCCCTAAAAGCTATACTTCTAAGCTCAAACCCCTCCTCATCTGGGGTCTGATGGTCACCTGAGGTTTTCTCACCCTTATGGAGCCTTGGTTTCTTTACTTATTCTATGGGTAAAAGAACTCATTTTTACCAGGTGGCTGGAAATTGAATCAGTCTGGAGACACAGAAACAAATGCTGAGTGTATCCCCTCCTTAATGGAGAGATCCTTGCTACTTGAAGGGACCTGTAATAGCTGCTACACCCCCCAGGCGACCATAGTCCATAAATGGAGGTGGGTGTAGATCTGGCTCCTGATCCATTCTCTGCTCCACAGCATTGGCCCAGCTCTCTGTTGTTTTCAATGCTGTGTCATCCCATCCATTAGGTCAGGAAAGCTGCTGTTAAGCCAGGCTATACTTGAAGTCACAAAAAGTGGGGAGCCCTGGACCACTGTCTCCCAGTCATGCCATGAGCCTTTCTAAGAACCAAGACTGGGAAGGAGCACAGGGCCTGGGCCTAGGACTAAGCACTTCCCTTCCTAGAGCTCTTGGGAACTCCCAGGGTGGCAGCCCAGAGCCCCAGCCCTGTCCTCACCTCATTCACCCAGGTCTGGCCCAGGTCCATGGCCTCCTGCCAATCTGATGGAAGTGGGTGTGACAGCCACTCCTGGAGTGGGAAGAAAAAGGACAGGTTAGAGGGGCCTCTTCCAAGCCTCTGAACACTTTTTCCTCCCCAAGGAGACACAGCACCCTGCTTGGTCCCTGCCCCCATGGCCAAAGCCTTGACATAATCCCCTTCCAGACAGGGCTGGCAGCTAACGACTGGATGGAGAAGAGAAGGGCTGTGAGTGGAGGCGTGGGCCCGGCAAGTGCACTCCTCAGCCAATCAGTGCCCTGCCTGGGTGGTGGATTTGGTTACAAGCCCAAGATCACTGCATACTCCTTCCTCCTCCTGCTGCAGCTTCATTCATTGGCCCCTGTCACACGGCCACAGAGCCCTGCTGGGTATTGCTTCCGGCTGCAGCCTCATGGGCTGGCAGGGACAGGCATTAGGGAGCTTTGTCTGACCAGGCTGGGCTCAGTCAAAATGAAGGTTCTGACAGTGCTGTTGGGGATGCTGGGTTTCTTGGGGGTGGTTCCAGAGAGCTCTGCTGCCCACTACTGGGAAAACAGCTCCTGCTACTACTGGAACATGCCCATCCCTGGCAGCCCTCTGGGGTCCCTGAGCTTCCTGGCCAAGGATGCTCAGGGTCTGGCTCTGTTCCATGCCCACTGGGATGCTCATGGAAGGCTGCAGGTATGCAGCTGGCAGGATGAACCGGAGCTCATTGAAGTTTTCAGTGATCTCTGTGCTCATGAGCCCACCCGGGGCTTCTTTATCCACAAGCCAGGATCAGAGCTGCTGAGAGCACTTGCCTCACTTTACAGTCAGTGGGAGACCTGCCAAGGGCCCTCAGGGGCCAGGGTGAAGCGAGCAGCAGAGCAGAGTGGAGCACCAGGCAGAAGGCACCTGCGAATGAAGAGAGGATGGACCATCCCTGGCACACTGTGGTGTGGAGTGGGAGACTCTGCTGGGAACTCCTCAGAGCTGGGTGAGCCTTGGGGTGTGGCTGGGCATCTGGTTGAGGAGTCACAGGCTTTAGCCATTGGCTTCTGGTCTCTCAGGTCATTTTTTTTTTTAAGGAATAATTTCACCATTTGCAACTCAGTTTCTTTATCTGTAAGATGAGGATGACCATGAGTCTCATCTTGGGACACTTATGTGAGATCATGGGTGGGAAAGGTTTTACACAAATCTGGGAGTCCCTATTAATCAACATCTGAGGAAAGAGGCAGGGTGGGGTGGGTTTTTTTTTAACCCCAAAGTCACTACCCAAAATATTTTAGAAGACCAGGCGCTTAAACTCGAAGAACTAGGTTCAGATTCCAACTCAGCACCTCTATGCTGAGCAATTCATTTCTCCTTACTGAATTTACTTCCTCACCTGTAAAACTAAGGCGGCACTCCCCCTTACAAGGCTGCTGTGAGCTTGAGTGTGGGAAGTACTAGGTGTCTGGGCTATGCCCAGTGCAGGGCACCATGGCTTGGACCATGATGGAATGCTGTTTGCGTCTATGTGGAGGGTTTGGGAGGAGTTGACACCTGAGTGGGGAGGGTTAGCATCCTGGCTCTGCCTTGTGTTAGTAAGAAATGTTGCACCCTGCCTGCTTGCCATTCCATTCCATACCATGTACATAGCTTTAAGAGTATGGGCTTGGGAACTCTGGAGGGAGATGACAACTTGTTCAAGGAAGACCTTCCTCATGAACATGAGAGGGTTGCATTCTGAGTGTGCTATGTAGGCTTTGAAACTATGAGTTTCACAGAGGGAAAATGATTGGCCTGAGGTTACCCAGGGAGTTTATATCAGGGCTGGCCTGAGAACCAGAACTCTGCCTTCTTGAGACAAGAAGACATACATAAGTTGCCTGACCCCTCCTGAGCTGCTGCTGCCCCACTTCTTTCCACACAGGGATCTTCCAGGGGGCCGATCTCTGCTGCAGAGAACATGACCACTGCCCACAGAATATCTCACCTTTGCAGTACAATTATGGCATTCGAAACTTTCGATTTCACACCATCTCCCATTGCGACTGTGATGCCAGGTTGGTAGAAGGCAGGAGGGTCTGGGGCTTGGGGACAAGAAGAGTCACCCTGTTCCTGAGTGTAGACACTAGGATTCCAGAGTATTCTAAAGATCAACCAGCCTAGACCCCAATGTGCAGATGGGAAAACTGAGACCCAAGAGAAAGAATTCTTGGCTCCCAAACCATCTGGATAGCAGTGATAGGGTTGAATGTGGGAGGAACTAGGAGGCTCTCTGGGGTCCAGGGACCTGAATACCAGCTCTGGGGCAGGTTCCAGCAATGCCTGAGGAACCAGCATGACTCCATCTCAGACATCGTGGGTGTGGCCTTCTTCAACGTGCTGGAGATTCCCTGCTTTGTGCTGAAGGAGCAGGAGGCGTGTGTGGAGTGGTACTGGTGGGGCCGGTATGTGGCTACCCCCATTAAATCCTTTCCCAGTCAGTGAGATAACCTTCTTCCCAGCCTGGCGAGGGAGGGCTGTCTGTCTCTTCTTCAGGTAATGATGCCTTATTGGTCTTATCTTTCCCTTAGGGCAAGGATTAGGGTACAAACCCTTCTTGGGTACCTTCCAAAGCCAAGGGAGGTGGGAGATGGCGGATTCTTAGTCTCTGTGGAGAGGACCCTCAGGGCTTCTGGAGCAGAGATTCAGAGTCATCAATTGCTACCAACTGCTACCTTCCAGGTGTAAAACATATGGTTCAGTGCCCCTTGCTCACCTCCAGCCCGGGACCTTTTACAATGCTTCTTGGAACTCCCCGGCCACCTCCCTGCCTCCCAGTTCCCAGAGCCCAGCCCACACCAAACCTCAATGGAAGCTGCACCCTCAGAAGACTCGATCGCAGCAGAAAGTGTCTAGGCAGCCAAGCACAGCCAATGCCACAGTCTTCCAGGCCCCTGTGGTCTCCTCCAGACCTGATGTGACCCTAACAGCCCAGTTGGTGGCCTTTCATCCAGCCCTTGATGGTCTGCAGAGTGGCCCCAAACCTCATAGTAAGTTATGAATCTAACTTTGGGAGTACCTCCTCTGTGTGCATGGGGTTAGGGTTGGGGTGGGGGGATGTGTTGTCTATTTCCTGCTCCAAACACCTCCCAGAATATCCAATCACTGAGCTATATCCCTAGCTCATAGTGCAAGAGCAAGAATTTTCATAATCCACAAATTGGACCATGTCACTCCCCACTGACATCATGGATCCTTTTTAATCTCAGTTCACAAGTTGCAGGATCCAGAGGCCCTCAGCCTCCATGGACTCTTATTTTGTAGTTTAAACTCCGTTTTTACAAACTTCCTGCAAGGTTCCTGCCAGAGTTGGGGACACAGCTCAGTGGTAGAATGAGATAACTGGCCTCCTCTTACCTCAGAGCCTTTGCATATGCTATTCTGTCTGCCTGCAGACATTGTCCTCTCTTTCCCCTCCCAGGTTCAGCTTAATAGTCTCACCACTCTATGTTCTACCATGGTGGCACTGCTGTGCGCATGAGTACAGCAGAGAGGGAGATGGTGTTTGTGTGATGGAGCATGTGTGCTGCTGTTTTTCCTGGGTGGTGGCAGGCACTGGTGAAGCCTCCTAGTGGACTGGATTCCCTTCATCACTACACATGTCGCTAGGCACTCGCTGGGCCTGTAGCAGCTTCCTCCTCCTGGACCAATGTGAGCACCAAATCAGGCCCCAGGAAGCCAAGTTCCAGCTGCTGAACAGTGCCCACAAGCCCCTCTTCCACTGCAACTGCACACGCCGGTGAGGCCTACTGGCCCTCTTAGGGGTGGGCTGTCTGCTGCCAGGCCCTGGGAAGGGGCACCTTGCTAACGAGGTCCTGTCCTAGCCTAAGCCTGCCTTGCTTGCAGCCTGGCACGCATCCTGAAGCTCCACAGACCACCTGCAGGTGCCAACATGCTTTGGAAGTGGCTGGGCACCACCTGCTTCAAGCTGGCCCCTCCACTGGATTGTGCTGAGGATAAAGGGTAAGCAGTGGCAGAGTCAGGAAGGATGGAGAGCTTTCCCCATGGACTGCATTACTTAGATCTGAACTGTGTGCCTGGGTCAAGGGGATTAGGGGACAGGGCCAGGGAGCTCTACTGTCAACACCTCCCTAACTCATAGTGCCTTGAGTCTAGCTCTGTAGTTGGCCTGCAGTATCTTGGTGCTGCCACTTACTGTATTTCCTCATCTGTAGAATGGTTGCAGGGGCCCAGGAAACTGCTTGCACCCTTAATCATTTTTTTCTTCCCAGTGGTACTGGGGAATGAATTTAGGGCCTTGATATATGCTTGAACTCAAAACGTAGCACAGGTTGGCCTTAAACTCACAGTGATGGTCCTGCCTCCCAAGTGCTGGGATATAGAGGTGTACCACCACTCCTGGCTCTTGATGCTTACTCCTAATCCACAGTCTTATTTGAATTGTGATTCTCAAAGTCAATCCTTTATAATTTCCATTTTACTTATGAGAAAGAAACTGAGGTCCAAAGTGAGTTACAGCCAGTTAACAGAAAAACCCAGGCCTCTGGGTACCACGCAGCTTTATTCTTTCCCCTTCTAGAGATAAGCCCACCCTTCTCTGCCTTGCTAGTGATCCTGACTCTGGCCCTGCTCCTCCCTAGGTCTCCATTTTCCTGTCTGTGTAGTAGGGTGGGATTCAACAAACCCTGACCACTTGCCCTCTTCTTACCCGATAGCTGCTCCAGAGAACCCAGAGCCATCAAGGTGTCAGCTCGGCATTTGTTGAGACTTCAGCAGAGACAACTCCAACTCCAGGATAAAGGCACTGATAGGGGGCAGGCATGGCCTTTGCAACCCTCAATGTCATTCTATAATCAATGCCTGCAGCTTACTCAGGCAACCTAGAGACCCAAAGGGCAGCAAAAGTTCTACAGTTAGTGACCTCAGTTTCCGCTTTCCTAGGCACCAGTTTGCACCTTGTTCCTGGCTTCCTGGGAATCTTGGCTTCCTCTCCATAGGTTAGACTGCAGCATGGCAGAGGCTGTTAAGGACAACCAGGAGGCTGCACAGAGGGGAACACCAGGCCCAAATGCCAGATCACATTTCCTGCTGTGCTGGATGACCTTGAGCTGGTGATACAACATCTCTGTGCCTGGAAATGGTGTTCAAAAGGCTTGCTCTGATGAGCGTGGGCCTTGTCTGGGAACTTTACATACAGATAGAGATGGGGAAGGGTAACTTATTGCAGCAGCACCTGCAGGCTCCAGGAAAAGGTACATGTATATTCATGTTGCAACATTAATACAGAACTCAAGAATCTGCTTAGGGGAGCCCTAGCACCTGGCTATGAGACCTGGGGCAGTAGGAGAGAAATTAGGGATGTCACAGAAATACTTGCATCTGAATCCAGGATGGGGGTCCTGGAAAGACATTTTGAACTCTGCTTCTCCCAGGGAGGCTCTTTCTTTTAATAGTTGCTGTATCTTTTCTAGACCATTCTTCTGGACCATTCTTTTTGTGCTAAACCTAAATTCAAATCTCTTTTATACCCTTGGAAAGGGACCCCCCTCTCCCTACTCTGAGCCTTGGTTCTCTCATCTGAAAAAGGGATTGTAAACATGAGCTACCTCAAGTGTTGTTGAAGATTAAGTGAACTAACTTTACATATATATATATAAAATTAAAATCTTGCTTAACACTCAGTAAACATTTTCTCCCTTTGGCACACAGCCAAACTGTCTGATCTTGAGAGGCTGACATAATCTCCTAGAGGCCTCAGTTTGCTCATTTGTAAAATGTTTCTAGGAATGGCACTGAGCCCACAGGGTGTGGGATAGATCAGAGATGCCATATATCCTGTATATAACTGGTGCCTGGCAAATATCAGCCCTGTCATTCTCTTGCCTCTTTAGTCCCTGCTTCGGACTGACCACCCCCAGGCCTGAACTGCTAACAAGTTAGGAAGGAGCCAGGAGTGAAGCTGGAGAATTTAATTCCTGATGGGTGACCTCCGGGATTGGGAAATCTGTCATATTTCCCCCACCATCCCAGATGGGGGCCCAGGCGGGGCTTTGCTGATTGTCACAGTTGAGGTGCCAGTTGGCCACCCCTGGCTAGGACAGAGGTGGGTACAGATACAGTTGGAGTGGCAGCAGGAAAGAGGCAGATGGGTTTATGAAAGATTGAGGCGGTGTGGGGCCATTTTGGGCCCATCTACCTACCTGGCCCTCAGGGTCCCAGACCCCCTTCCTCCAGCCCCTGCCTGCCCTGGGGGCTAGGAGACAGGCTGTCAGGGTCAGGGGCCTCCTGACCAGGTCCCCAGGGCCCGCCACCACCAGGATCTACAGTCTCTAGGCGCAAGGCAGGCAGCACGCCTAGGCTTCGAGGCACAGTTGATGGGAAGGCCCAGGGGCCAGGCAGCGCAGAGGGCCCTTCTTCACTGCTGCCTCGGCTGCTGTTGCCATTGCTCCTGCCATTGCTCCTATCGGGGGCTGCACGGGGTAACTGGCGGCTTTGGGGTGAGGGGCTACGGCTGGCACCACGACGTTCACGGGATGAGGGCCGCAGGGCAAAACTGGGGAAACGGGCCAGTCCTGGGCTGCGGCTACGATGTCGCTTGGACTTGCCAGGACTGGGGCTGCGGGACTTGGGTGCGAGAAGCTCCAGAGTGCTGTCATCCTCACCCTCCGAGGAGGTCCCCGAGCTGTCTGTGCTGCTGCTGCTGCTGGCTGACTTCGAGGTAGGCAGCGAGATCTGGGGGAATACTGGTCACAGGGGCATCCCACTCCTCATGGCCATTAAGGCCTCTTGGAACCACTTCCCCCCTCCCCATTGGCAGACCTTCTGGTCTGGCTATTGGTTTGACATCACAGAGTAGAATGTGGAGGCTGTGGCACTAAATAGGGCTATTTGCCCCTCCCTCTGAGCCCTACAGTGTGACCTATTTACCTGAAAGGGTTCAGTGACACCGATGAGGATGCTGTGGTTGTGACTGTAATAGCCCAGGATGAAGTCTCCATGGCCCTTGGGTAGTGATTCCTCACTGAATGTCACCTGGTGGGCTCAGGGATATAAGCCAAAATTGGGGTGAGAGGGCAGGCTCAGGACCCCCCAAACTGAGTCCCGAGTTCCCCAAGGCAATGGTAGTTTTTCTTTTCTTCCCCTCCTTTTAAGTACCTGGAAGATAGTCCCGTCCACATCTTCATGTTTGGCCCATACATAGGCCACATAATCCTTGCAGTGGCGAAAACCCACCTGGGGCAAGAGGGATCAGGGTTGTGACTCCTCATTCTAATTCCAGCAGGCCCCCAGGGTAGCATCAAACTCTGGACCAGCCAGTGACCCAACCCTGCCTTAGTGCCTAGCTGTTCCCCCAGACCCCTTCCTCCCCTAAGACACTGACTCCCCTGCTCTGCTCACCCGGTACAAGCCGATCCAGTCCCAGGAACTTCGGGCAAACACTGTTTCCATGCGGTACCTCACCACAGCCTGCTCTGGTCGTACCCACTCATCTGCCACCTCCAGCCGTACCAGTGGCACGTCGTCCCTGAAGGCAAACTGCCCAAGCAAGGCGGGGAAAAGTATAATATCAGGGGAGACTATAGCATCCCACACACCCAGGGCTCTTGGGCCAGCACAAATTAGTTGAGATGAAGGGACTCTGAAGCCACTTTACAGACTAAGAAACAAAGACAGAACAGAACTAGGATAAATACCAAACTTCCTGCCTCCCAACTCAGAGTTCCTTCTGTCTATAAGCTCCCTATGGAGTGAATGGAACACAGCTTTGAAGTTAGTGCACCCAGCATTAGGCCCTGGTTCTGCCATTGGCAGGTTATGCAATAGGCACATCCCTTGGCCTCTCTGAATACCAAGGCCCTTATGGGTAAACTCAGAGGCTCTTACTAAGTACCTGGGATTGTTTTTACTGATTCACCAGGATACCATTTGTAAAGCATCCTGTAAATTTCCCATTATAACACATGCTCAATAGGTGATTTGCCTATATGCTAGGTAAAGTTTTATATATTGGGCATTCTGGATTAAGCTGAATATCCTTGAGTGGGCAAAAAGAACCCTGTGTGGGTGGATAGAGACATCAGTTTATGTCTAGCCTCTGCTACCACCTTGCTGTGTGACCTTAAAGTGAGGCCCTAGTCATTCCAAGACTTAATTTCTCTACCTGAATCTTAAGTACTGAGGGTTCACTAACAATTATCTTGTTATTAGACCATGAAGACATTAGAACCCTGAGTATCCTTCCCCCAGGGCCAACTGAGCCAACCACAGAGTCATCAAAATGAATGAAGTGGCTCAACAGTGGGCAGCTATGGAATTGGCCCCATGTGTGTACCTAAGGAAAGGAAAAGTTTAGGTGGTGCCAGACTCAGGCCATTGTCTACTTCCCTGTTGATCTAGTTTCAGGTTTCCCTCCCTCTGCTTCTGAGCCAAGATGTTCCAGAAGTAACTGATACATTCTCTCCTTGTCCCTGGGTTGAAGGGCTAAAGTGTCACTTGAAATGCCCTCCAAAGGCTCCTAAGGTCAAAACTCTCTGAATCCCTATTCTGACCATGTTGCCTTGGATAATAGACCTGAGTTTTCTGAGCCTCAGTTTCTCTAGCTAGTAAAATAGAAAGGAGATTTTGGACACCTCAGGGCCTATTAAGACATGCAAAGGAATACGATACTGTGACCTATATAAGATATGACATGTAGTAGGTACTAAACATGTACTAGGTAACATTTTTAAGGGCTAGTCCTGAGGGCCAAGACAGGAAGGACAAGGTGGGGTGCCAAAAGGAGTGATTTTTTTCTTTTAGACAGAGACTCACTATGTAGTCCAGGCTGGCCTTGGACTTCTGGCAGTTCTGCCTCAACCTCCCGAGTGTTGGGATTACAGGTGTGTGCCACCTTGCTTGGCCATGATTTTTTTCTGTGCTAGAGATTGAACCTGGGGCTCTGTATATGCCAGGGAAGAGCTCTATCATTAAGCTATCTCCCCAGCCTCCCAAAAAGAGTGATTCCCAAAGCAGGATCCCTGGATGAGGGTTAAAACTCATGTCCAAGCCCTTTACCAGAGATCACAGGAGGCCCAGTAGGGCAGATATTCATTGCCAACTAACAACACTGATCATATGACCAAGTTACCAGGAAAAACATTCTGTGGCCTACAGAGCTCTTTCTTATCAGATCAAGATACCTGGAGAAGCCAGAGTTGTTTTTCAGGGTTGGAAAGATGGGGTCTACTCTGATCTACTTCTGCCACTTAGCCTTGTGTGACTTGGGGCACCTGCCTCCCTCAATAAGACCCTCAGTTTTCTCTGTTAAAAAAATAGGGAGCTCATCTTTTAGATCTGGTCCTGACATATTACAATTTCCCCTTTTTACTTTGGCAACAAGAAACCTCAGTGCTAAATACAATATAGTCATCCTTCAGTGTCTTCAGGGAATTATTAATGTTCCAGGAAACGTGGCAGATACCAAAATCCAAGTATGTTTAAATACTTTACATAAAATTGTATACTATGTGATTATAATCTTGTGTATCTTTCTATGCATTTTAAATCACTTTTTTTTTTTTTTTTTGTCTTTTGAGGCAGGGACTCATTATGTAGTTCAGGCTGGTCTTGAGCTTACTTTGTAGCCCACGCTGGTCTTGAACTTACAATGATCTCCCTGCCTCAGCCTCCTGAGTGCTGGGATGACAGGCATATGCTACCATGCCTGGCTCATTTCTGGGTTATTTACACCTAATACAAAGTAAATGCTATATAAATAGCAATATATAGTTATTGCACTATATTGTTTAGGTAAAAATGACAAGAAAAGTGTATAGGTGTTCAATACAGACTCAATACTTTTTCTGAATATGTTTGATACATGGTTGAATCACAGATGCTGAGCCGACACAAAGGACTAACTGAACTATAGTAACCATTTTGAATTTGGCTTTGAGCTTTTTTATATTTCTACTCCCTTCTCCCATCGCTACCTTACTCTGACATTGCTTAGACCTTAATAAATAATGAATGAATGCCACATAGAATTGGAGTAAACATTTGATTTTGCTGGTCTTATACATGTGAATTTTAATATACATTGCCCTAAACCTTTCTTAGAAGCAAGTCAGTCAGACATTAGTGAAAAAACATGCTCTGCAATCAGACTGGCTTGGGTTCAAATTCTAACTCTTTCTCTGAGTGGCTGTGTGACCCTGGGGAAGTGATGCTTTCACTCTCAGCCTCAGCCTCTTCACCTGAAGATGAGGCTTATAACTTCCCTCCCACTCTTTTAGGACAAATGATTGCTGTAGGTATGAGGCGTTATTGGTGGGCAGCGGAATCCTAAGCTGGGTCATGGAGGAGGATGATACCAGGACTCACCCGCAAAACAAACTGAGCAGCCACAGGCTTGTGGTCACTGACTGTGTATTCCATGTGGCTGCGGTAGCTGTGTTGGGTCACCTGGAGCCGGTGGCTCTCCCGTCCTGAGGGGCTAGGACCTCCACCTGGAGCCTTGACCTTCCACAGAATACGATCTGTCCAGGCTGGCTTCCGCTTCTTGGCGCTGCGGAGGGCAGGGATAGCTTGGATCTCAGCGCCCGAAGATCAAGGCAGAGCTTCCAGCCTCGCCTCCAGTCCTTCTTCCCATAGTCTCTCATCTCTAGTAGACTCAGCCCACTATCCCAGTACTCACCTGGTATCATATTTGTTGGTACCCACATCAAACTTGAAGGTAGGGGCGAAGTTAAGGGGCCCCTCTTGGAAGCCTTTCAAGATGGGCCAAGTGTTCTTGGCTATGTTGAGCTGTGGGGGTCCAGAAGGACAGAATTAGGTAAGAGCTTGGGACCTCCATCACCCAGAGAGAGAATGTAGAGCAGGTGAGGGTAAGGACCACAGCCTCAGGTATACAAGTGTGTGGCAGAAAATGTTTCGTGTGCTTGGGATTTGAGGTGGGAGCTAGGATTCCCCACCTGGTCCTTCTCCCAGAGTTGATGGAGCCGGTCACTGTCAATAGCAAACTTGACAAAGTGCAGGTCATAACTCTCGATTCGGAAGTTCAGGTCCCCAAACCAGAACACGAGGCTGTTTGCAAGCGGGGGTCAGTGAGGCCAGGGAGTGGAAGAGCTCAACCCAGATCCTTACCAGCCCTCATCCAATCTGACAGCACAGGCACCTCTAGAGATGCCAGTAGATGGGTAGCTGATTGCATGGCCTTCAGCCCAACAAGGAGCTAAGGGGATGGGGGGGGGGCAGATCTAGAGGAAATTAGCTTGCGACTGTGCCTCAGCAAAGCCCCAAAGTATTTGCAGGCTCTACTACTCCCCATCAAACCGCTTCTGTTCTTACAGGCAGTTTGGGTGACCACTCACCCCAACATACCCTCTTCTTTCCACAAGCCCCACCCAGACGGGTATTCTGCATCCCCCTCACTTAGTTCCACCCAACCTCCTTATGGTCCCTGGCCATACTCATGATCCAGGATTCCTTGTGCGCCAGGTCCCTGGAATTGCTGGAGGCTAAGGATAGTTTGAAAATTGTCCTTGCGCTGCTCCGCTTTGTCCATATGCGCAGGCAAGTGGCAGTTCAAGAAACAGAGCATGTGCCCGAAAGCAGACAGGCGCACACTCACGCCACCCTTGTTACCCTAGGAAGGAAGGATTGGGTCGGTCATGGGCGAGGCCTCAAAAAGGAAATAAGGCACAGGACAGACAGGTAATTGGAGTATGAGGGTGGGAAAGGGCAGGGTCCTAAAGAGAGGCGGATCACCGGGCTGGGCAGACAGATGAAGGGGGCGGGGTCAAGGGAAAGGGCGTAGCCCTCGGGGATTGGGCAGGCCCTAGGTTCAGAGTGTGCCTTGGGGGCCCCATTCCCTCCAGGCCTGTTCGTAGGCTCACCCAGTAGCCACCCAGGCCAGTACGAGTGCAGTCAGTCTGCACGTCCCTCAGGAAGGGCAGGTGGTAGTACTTGGCGAACAACAGAAGGATGACACCTTGCATCCTCACTGTACTCACCTGCGGGGTGAAGTTGGAAGGGACAAGGTTGGAGGCTGGGACGAAATGCCCTAGCCTTGGATCCTGCCATGTCTTTCCCCATCCTTAAAGTCTGCTTCTCCTATTTCACTGATCCAATAACAGTGGCCCAGCAATCCCCACAGTGAGTCACAGGAGAGATGGCCCTGGAATCCAGGAGAGTCCCTGCTCCTCCAAAAGGTGAAGGGGGGGCATTACCAGCACGAAACTGAAGGGCCCCAGCGCTTCCATGAATAGCTCGCTCCACTGGTCCGTGAAGAGAGCGTCCTTGAGCCGCTTGTTGATCATGGAATTCACTTCCTGCAACCTGGGGGAGTTGAGGGGTGGGGCAGTCTTGGAGTGGAGAAGCATCCTAGAAACCCCTGCCATATTAGAGGTCCGGAGGCCCCAAGAATTCAGGAAGGGGGTCTCCCCCCTTCCCCTCACCCTATGGCGATCATGTCTGCACCATCACTGTCATCGCCACCACCCAGGTGGAGGAGGGATGTGACATCGTCTGGAGGCATGGCAGTGCCCACGTTCCATGTGACCACAGTGATCCTGGTGGCAGGGACATAAGAGGATTCACGGCTGGGCACCATTCCCTACTTTCTCCCTTCCTCCCATAGGGTTCTCTCTGGAAAGGTAAACTGAGGAGGAGGAGGGAGGGGGCAATCAGCCCTTAGGAAAACCCACCATGGGACCACTGACCCTCCTATCTACTCTCCCTGGGAAGATAAATTGAGGAAAAACCAAAACCCTAGGAAAGGATGATGTCTTCTGAGGGTCCCCAGTGAGACCAGATCAAATCCTCAGGAGACAAGCTGAGAGAGAGTATAACATCACCCTGGAAGGATAGTCAGTTGCCAAACTCAAGCCCCCAAAAACCTTTCTTGGGAGAGGGCCCCCTCACCGGAATCCGGGGTCACTCTTGCAGGTAGGCTGAGCTGACCAAGAGGTGGATGATGAGGTGGACGTAGGAGAGGTGGTGACTGGGGCTGAAGCTTCCTGGGCTTGAAGACTGGGGCTCAGGCTCCTGCTAGGCATCGCGTCCTGGTTGCCAGACCTTGTACCCTGAGCAACAGGCCCTATGCTCTTGGTGCCAGGTACTATGCCCTGAGTGCCAGGCACTGTACTCTGGGTGTCAGGCTTGGGGATGGCCATCTCAGGGGCTGAAGGGACACAGGAAGAGTGGTTGGGGGAGCGGCTAGGGGAACGACTGGGAGACCGAGGTGGCTTGGGCAGAGCTGGGGGCACCGTCTGGCCTGAGAGAGCCCCTGGCCGGAAGGTAGGGGACAGAAGTCCAGGGGAACGGGTGCCAGGCTCTGGAGGGCCCTGGCCTACATCCAAGGGCAGGGTCGGGAGTGGCTGGGGCAGGACAGGATCTTCAGGGATGTTTCGCGGAGCCTCAGGCCAAGCTCGGAAGGTGAGGGAGAACCGGGCATCTGGGGAGGTTTGGATCAAGGATGGGGGGGTTGTAGGACTAGATGCCTGAGCTGGAGGCTGGAGATGCCCCTCAGAAGTGGGGAGAGATCTGGGGACTGGGGCATCCTTCTGTCTAGTTGCTGTGCACCCCATAGAAGTGGGAGCTGAGGCTGTGGATGCTGGAGTGAGGGTCTGTTCCTGAGAGAATGACAGAGCTGGACTAGGCACTGGGGAAGGACTGGCTGGGGGCTGGTGGGGCTCCTCCTGAGGAGCTAGGGCCAGGCTTAGGCCTGAAGCTGCCAATGCTGGCTTAGGTGCCATGGAGGTGGGTGACAATTGCTTCTTGTCTCTGGAAGCTGGAGCCACACTGGTCTCCAGGGTAACTGGGGAAGGCTTTGGGACAGCTGAGGCAGATATCACCAGCTGCCCCAGAGATGCTGGAGCCAGGACTGAGCCTGAGGTTGCTGGGGAAGGCTTTGATCCAGCTGAGGCAGACACCACTAGCTGGCCCACACATGTTGGAGCTTGACTGGAACTACGGTGAGCAGGAGCTCTTCTGTGTCCTCCAGGGGTGGACAGTGGAGACAGGATGGGTTGGGGAGATGCCAGAACCAGCCTTAGCCCCTCTGAGGAAGGTGACATTGCTGTTCGTGGCCCCACAGGTGCCAGAGCCAACCTTGGTTCCAAGGGTCCTGGGGCTGTTTTCTCCTTCAGTTGGACCTGAAAATTTGAGTGCACCTTGTAGAGGACAAGTCAGTGACTCAGAGTGACCCTAACTAGGAAGCTGAGCTATGACTTCCTTACAGATCCTCATAAGGCTTATATTTCCAAGGAAGTTCTTCTTGCTATCTTACTCCAATCCATCCTGCTGCAAGTCAGTTTCTCTCTTGGAGGAGGCGACAGAACACAAAGCCTGCCCCTTCTCAGCCTTCTCCTTCACAAGTGGAGAAACTGGGACCCTGACTCGAACGAAGCAAAGTGAATCTGAGGCTCTCCTGGTTCTCCTGGCTGGTACCTACTCCCTGCCCACCCCTATCAGCTTCCCTGGGCAGCCCTCTCAGGAATCCCAGAAGCTCTTCCAGCCACAGGCACTGACCTGATCACTCGGGTTTGCCTACATTGGGCAGTTGGGCTTCAGCCTATTAAATATCTCTCCTCCATGGAGCCCAAAAGCCCTCTAGTGCTCTCTCACCACCACCACTCAACCCCTCAGCATCTTGGGTCACAGTCCTCTGCCAGCCATTCCCAAAGTTCCAAACAGGGACAAGATCTGGGGACTGAAACTGGCCATGTAGATTCCCAGCCCAGCTCTTTGTAGCCTTTGGCAAGCCTCTCTGCCCAAGGCCTCCATTTCCCTGCCTGCAAATGAAGAGTTCCTTCCAGATGAAGAGTCCTTGACCACAGCCCTCCCTGAGGAGTCTTGGTCTCTACATTTGTGAACCCACCATTTGCTGTACTAGAGTTCCATGGAGTGCTGTGGCATCAGCCCGTTCTCTCCAAGTGTGGTTGTACCACTCAGAACAGGTCGATGCTGGTCTTGAGCCTCTCAGCACCCAGATGGTACTCTCTTACCCTATCCATTCTCTACCCCACTGGGGAGGGCAGGCAGCCAGGTATCCCCTTATCTCTGCAGGTGTTTGGGGGACTGCAGAGGCTTGCTCTCCTTTCCTCATCCATCCTCTGTTTACAGTGTTCCTTATCACCAGGAGGTAGGATAAAATATCCTTTGCCAGGGAAGACAGAAGGAGGTCTATCTTTGCTCCAGGGTGGCTGAATCCCTGTCTCCAGAGATGCAGTTCTGCCTGGTTTGTGTCCTTCTCGGTTCAGAGAACCTGAAACTCTGCCTCTGTTTCTTTTCCCAAACTCAGTTCTTTAGGTTGCATTTTGGACATCCTCCCTGGCTCCAAGTGTCCCACTGTGTGCCCCCTCCCCCTCAACCACCATACCGCCTCCAACACTAACAACTTAGACATCCCAGATGTCACAGTTTTAGTCTTCAGAGACAAGCCCCCTCATTTTGCATTGGCTCAGAGAAGACAAATAACTTGCCCAAGGTCACACAGCAAAGCCAGAGAACAGCTGGGTTCCCTGACACCACAGTCTAGGTCCAAGGCTCTTCTGAGGTCTTCTGGAGATGGCTAACTCTTTCTTGGGCATCCCATCATTGCCTCCCAGCAACCAGCATGACCTCTTTGCCTGACCCCTTCATAGTGGGCACAGGAGAGTGCCAGCCCCTTAGCCAGGGCATCAGGGTGCCTGCAGTGTGTGTGTGTGTGTGTGTGTGTGTGTGTGTGTGTGTGTGTGAGATCCGGAATGGTGAGGGAGTCTAGGTTTTGGGGAGTCTTACCTTGGAGGGTGTTCCAGTTTGAGAAACCCCACGAGGCATAAGCAAGGAGCCCAGGCCAGCTCGGGTCCCTGGCTTCCCACTGCTGCTGCCATTCTGGCCCTCCATGTCTGCAGCCCCCAGCAGCTCAGGCTCCCTTGGGCTCTGGCTCTAGCTCCTCCGCTCCCGGGAACCGTGATGTCATCAGTCATTTCAACCTGCTGAGAATTTAAAGGTACAGGCACCTACTTCCTAGCCTGGAGGTGGCCAGAACAAGGTGACTCTGCTCTAGGAACCCTTCAAGCTGGCTGCTGAGGTTGGAACGGCCATGGGGGCTGGGATGTGCCTATCAGCCCAGCCTAGGTCCCAACTGGAAGCGTAGAGGAGGCCCAATGTTTGTCCCCACCCTCACATCAGTATGCCTGGCAAACCTTTGCTCCTAGCAAAGAGTACTGACACACCTGGCAGACAGGTGGTTCCGAGGTCAGCACGCTCTCCAGGGCCTCAGAGACACTGAGTCCCTACTCTGATCCTGTGATCTTCCTTACTCGCCACCAGCTCAGGTCCTTTTCCTTGCTCCATTTTCAGGCCTGGTATCTGCTCACTGTCTTCCACACCCAGCCCTTCTCCTTGGCTTTATTCTTCCCATTCTAGAGTCACTCAGGCTCCAGTCACTAGAGTCCTCTCCCATCTTGGTCTCAGCACCAGCCTCTCCTCTTCTGCAGATACCTTGTTGCCCTCAGATGTCCCCACACTCAGGTCTGTCTCAATGCAGCTCCTTTGAGTGCTTCTCTCTCTTGTACGCTGGGTATAATTCAGGAAGGAAATTGCTCAAGATCATTTGGTGAACCAGGGAGGTCTCTTAACTTCAACTATGAAGTTGGAGGAGTGGTGGAGGCCGTAACAAAGGTACCAATCCTGGTGACAGTGACAGAACGAAGAGAGAGTGGTACAGGCTATGAGGGTGGAGGTGAGATGGGAGAAGAAGAGGTGGCAAGGGCGAGGTGCTGACGGGTGAGGTGGTGGTAGAGGTGGAGGTAAAGATGGAGATGGTAGGAAGGAAAGATGTAAGTAAGAGTGGACATGGCAGTGGTGCTCAAGTCACCAGGAAGCAAAGGAAAAGTTGAGCTCATCTTGGCCAACCTTCTGATTCTTATTTTACAAGAGAGAAAAGTTAGGTCCCCCAAGATTATCCCCTTTCAATGCAATCTTGGCAGGGATGAGTGGATACAGGCCCCTAGGACCAGTCCCAGCGTTGGGTTAGGGCAACCAAAACCTTTTAGAAGCTTGCTAAATATTATGCAAATAGGTATGCAGAGATCCTCTGTTCCCAACCTCCCAACTCAGATCCTGTAGGGGCCTTGACACTGACTCACTGGGAGAAGTTGCTGATTTGTTTAATGGAGATAGAAACAATGGGTATCTCATTAGTTTGCTGTGAAGATTAAACAAGATACTGCATAGGGGCTATTTAGCACAGAACCTGGCAGAAAGAGACTCTCAGTAAAGGCCCTTTAGTTGTCACAATCGTTGTCATTATTCTCACCTTCATCATCTACTCCAGCCCACCCATTTGGTGGATGCTGAAACTGAGGCCTGGTATGGTGGTGTTTCTGGGAGGAAGGGGAAGAGTAAGGGGGTGGCAGGAGGGTGGGGCATACCCTGACTGAGAAAGGAGCCTGTAGGAGCTATATTTGAGCTCCTGGTACAATGACTAAGGAGGTTGATAACAGGCTTTAGGGCTCAGGGTGGCAGGCCGGGAGCAGCTGCCAGGGAGAGCCGCCCCCCTGGAGATGGCTGTCTCCAACTCCCTCCTTTCTTCTCTCTTTAGGGCTTCAGGGTGGAATGGTGGACCTAAGGCAGAGGATACAGCTTATCCAGACCTTGCTGGGAACTCTTAGGGCTCCCTTTCAGGTGTTTTGGGTCAAGGATAGGAAGGGAAAATGTTGGTGGTTGGCAGATTGTCTCAGTCACTCTCCATAGTTACCTAGTAAGTCTCCATTTGATGGAAGAAACTGAGCCCCCATAGAGGATGGACCACAGAGGGACTCTGAGGGAGACAGAGGATATTTCTCCTCTGCAGAAAAGGTGACTGCTGAACTCCTTCCTGGAAGGAGAGAGAGTCCATGCTGCCAAATCGAAGGTGAGAAATGCCCTGGGAAACAGAGAGAAAGTCAGATGCAGAGGTACCATGTGTGGCGTGGAGGGTTCTGCTTGTGGGAGGATGCAAAATTTGGACGTGCGTCTCTCAGAGCATTGGCTCAGACTAAACACACCATGACATGGAAGGGAGGGAAGTCTTTTTCCTTCTTTTCTCCTTGTCTTCTTCACTCCAGGGACACTTGAAGATGGCACAGAAGAATGTGTCTCTTTTCTTTCCCTTTGACTCAGGTCCACCCTGAGGGAGGTCATGCTGGGTGGGAAATGTCCAGCAATAAGTAGAAAGTGAAACAGCGTGTTGCGGGAAGGTGGCCAAGGGAAGAATCAGGAGGGATGAGGTAAACAGATCACAAAGGAGTATTGCTTTGCCCTAGGATTCCCTCCAAGGCTTCTTACTGGTAACAAGTGGTATTTGTTATGTCCCTGGCCCCTACTTTCTACTCTCCGGAGCAGGTGTCATCCTCACCCTCCATTCTCACATTTAGGAAATGGGCTGGAGGTGGAGGGGTGACTTCCCCAAGGTCACACAGCTGTGGCTGAGCTCAGGCAACCCTTGTTCTTCTCTTCAGCTCCCCCTCCTTTCAGGCAGCCTGGCACCCGCTGTCAGCTGCTCTGAAGTGAGTGGCTATTTTTATTCTGGTGCGAGGGGATCTCAAGCAGCAGAGCCATGTAGGTTAGAAGGCTCTAGGACACTCAGCAGGCAAGGGAAAGCCTACTGCAGGGACTCGACCTGTTAAGCTTGTCTGGTGGTTCTCACTTATAGACTGACCCACCTGAGACTTGCATGTCTCTGGAAATTTCTTTATTGGAACTCAGAACAGGGCTCTGGTCTTGGCCTTGATCTCACATCTAATTTGTTTCTTATTTGTTGACTGAGCTCTGGTGTCATGCAGAGACAGAGCCTCTACTCCAGCTTTAGACTGAATTCTATCATCTTAGAGAATGAACCTTGACTAGTCACACATTGAACTGTGATTCAAGTCTCACAAAAGGCTAATGTTAATTTGAGACCCTGATTATGAACACAGACTAAACCCTGATCTAAGCCATAATCACAGATTAATCTGTAACATCAGTCCAGAGTAAGTTTGATTCTGGTGAGAGATTCTCTCTCATCTTGGTCGCAAATTGAGCCCTGATTTCAGGTTGAAATTTGACCCTCGGTCATGAAAACTCTATTTACACTGGTCACACTCTGGGCCCTGTTGCCTGACTATGCCCTGTTTCTGGTAAAAGTCTGAGCTTAGTCATTGGCTGAGCCATGACCCTAACCACACTGAGCCTTGATCCTGGTCACAGACTGAAGACTAAGCCCAATTATTGACCGAGCCCTGACTTCAGTTCAGACTCAGTTCTAAAGCTGATCTTAAATCAAGGGCTGACTCTGACCCCATCTGAACCTGACCCCATCACAGGCTAAACTCCAGTCTTAACCCTATCCAAGAAAGGTTGGTGGCCTAGATTACATGCAGCCTCTTAAGGAATATGAATTAGTAGCAGAGATCTGTCCTGAAAGATCTTGGGCCTCGCATACTGCAGATGCCAGAATATTTCTGGTAATACTGTGGCCACTGTCTCCACTGCTGATTCTCCTGGCTGTCTGGTCAACCCTTAGCAGCCCACACTATGGCTCCCACAGGCCACAGTGTCCAGGTTAATGCAATGAGAGTGATTCGATGGCATCTGTCCAGTGAACAAGGCCCACCGGGCACTGGAGTTTGGCTTTGTCAGCAGAAAAACCACAGGCTCTGGCTTCAGTCACTCTGAGGCTCCTGTTGGGGTAGGTTTTGGGTAGAGGGAGCTACTGGGATATGTTTCACTGTGAATGCATACTTATAAGAAATACAGAAAAAGTATAATGGAGAAAGAAATTCACATAATTTTATCTACCAAGAGATGATCATTTTCACTTTTTCAACTTTCTAGATATTTTGGGTCTAGGGCATGCGTGCGCACATGCACACATACACACAATGTTATTTTTTTTAAATAACGTTTGGTCACTGTGCTGCTGTTACAACATTCAGTGCAGTCTGTCTCCTTAACAGGAACCACAGTATCACTGATGCTGCCTGCAGCTTCAGGAGTGAGTCTCAATAGGTTAAGCCAAGGAGCAATTCCTGTGGCACATGATTAGATCACGGGGGCGGGGGGGGGGGCGACGACAGTGAGATATAAAGACTTTTGCTGAGGACTTTAAAAAGAAAGCTTGTTTTCATTCCTGAGGTGGTTACCAAAAAGGGATGAAAGGTGACCCCACTCCCATCCAGTATGATGAAAGCTGTGGCTTTGTACTGTTATCAGCCAATCTTGACAACACACAGATCATTGACCTAATGACAAGCTGACAGTATGAAAAGTAGAATAGAAAGAGATCAGGTCTTGGTGACTTCATCAGCTGGACCAACTCTTACTTAAACCCCTCCTACTACATGACTTTTGAAAAATTACTTTAAGTGGGCAGAGTGGCACATACTTGTAATCCCAGGACTCAAGAGGCTGAGGCAGGAGGATGGCTCAAGTTTGAGGTCAGCCTGAACTGTATAGTGAAACATTGACTCAATAAAACAAAATAAAAATGTATTTGAACCAGTTAGGCATGGTGGCACATGACAATAGCCCAAAGTTCTGGAAAGCCGAGGCAGGAAAATCACAAAATTAAGCCCAGCCTGGATAACTGAGTGACTTACTGAAACCCTATTTCAAAATAATAATAACAACAACAACAAAAAAGAAAGCAAAGGACTAGGGATGGAGCGTAATGTAAAGATGCTGGGTTCATTTTGCAGTATTGCAAAAATAAGTAAATAATTGAGCCAACAGATTTCCTTTATTGTTTAGGCCAGTTTAATTTGGTGTTTCTGTGATTTGTAGTTTAGAGGATGACAACTCCCAACTGATATTACTATATTTCTGTTTGACAGCCTTTTTGCTAGAGCTGTTGTCTAGTACCATAACTACGAACATTCTCCAAGTCACTCAACACCACTACATCATTTTAAATAACTGCACAGTTTTTAAACCACAAAAGTATTGCCACTTATTTAACTCATTCCCTGCTGTGACATGCTTAGGCTCTGTCTCCAGTCTTTCATAATCCTGGTGTTTTTATAAACAACCTTGACTTAGCAACTGGTCCCTACTGTGATGATTACTTTGGGACAATTTCTGAGAAGTAGAATCTCTAGATTGAGCAAAAGCTTGTAAGACTTTGATTTGTTGAGTCAAACTGCACTTTAGAAAGCTCTGGCAAATTTATGTTTCCACAGCAGTAAATACAGTATTAGAGATAGCCTACTCCAGTCAGATTCACAATGTCTTCAGGTATTTATAGAAAGTAGATATTATAACAGTTCTAAGTCTATTATTTTTATATCTTTACAATCAAGTCTGTAAAGGGGAGGTAGCAGGGTACAAGCAAAAATCTCAGTGTAGCTCTGACTTATTCATGAGTCACAGTTGGCATCACAAATGGCTCCCAACATTTTTAGGGGCAAGTGAGATGTTTTAATTTCTTTTCAAATTAGAAGAAAAATATCCAATGATGATAACATAATAATAAAAAATAGATTTGGGCTGAATTTTGTTTATTGTTTTATCCAAAGCAGTCATAAAATGCTTTTTTTTTTTTTTTTTTGGTGCTGGTGATGGTGATCATGGTGCTGAGGATTCAAACCAGAGCTTTCATACTGAGTAACATTCCCAGCCCTTTTTTGTTTGTTCAGCCCAAACTGGCCTTGAACTTGAGGCTATCCTCTTGGCCTCAGCCTCCCAAGTGCTAGGATTATAGGCAGGCACCACTACTCCAGGCTTATTCCCAGTCCTCTTTTAAATTTTGAGACAGAGTCTTGCTTAGACTGCCCACACTGGTCTTAAATTTGCATTGCTCCTAACTTCAGAACGCCGTGATTACAGGTGTGCAGCACCATGCTGGCTTAATATATATTTTTTAAACGGAGGAAGAGGAATGCAAAAATACCTTCCATCTGTGAATGTTGTAATGCAGCCTTGGCATAATGTTGAGAATAACTTTCTAGATTCAGTGGGAAAGAGCATAATGATCCCTCTGTATCTGTGGAGGATTGACTGGACAGCCCCACCCAAAATCCCAAATCTAAGGATACTTAAGTCCCTGACATAAAGTGGGATAGTATTAGCATAGCATTTATTCACCTCCTCCTGTGTACTGTAAATCATCTCTAAATGACTTATAATACCTAGTACAAAGTAAATATTACAGAAATAGTAACTATACGATATGTCTGAGGGAATAACAACAAGGAAAAAAAGGCTGTATCTATTCAATACAGATGCAATTTTCATTGCCATGTATTTTCAGCTGGAGGTTAGCTGAATCCACATAAGTGACAAAAGGCCCCTGACTGTGCTTGTGCCAGCTTGAAGGCATCAAGAGGGGAAGCTACACCCCCATCTAGTTATTTTTGATCTGGTGGGATGAGACAGAGTTTTGAGTTCAAATCCCAGACCTGCAACTTGGAATTCCTAACCTCCAAAATGGAGTTCATGGGGACGTTTATGAGGCAAACAAACAAATAACAAAACAAGAAACAAAAAACCCAATAATGAAAGCCAACACCAGATACTATTTTTGAGTATTAACTCCTTTATCCTTTAAACTCCTATGGGATAAGTAATCGTCTATTACCATAGTGCGTGCCCTGGGAAATCGAAACCTTGATTGGGATTTTGTCCAAAGATATAAAACGCTCAAAGAAGTATTTCCCAGGCTTCAGTGTTTTTTAAACTCGAGGGTGTGACCTAAAAACTCCCACGTCCATTCTGCGTTCCGTCTGCACCCTCTGCTGGCGGAAAGTGGCGTTGTGTGTTTGCATCCTGCGGGAGCGTCCACACTCAATCCGCAGGAGGATGGTCTTTCTCCGGTCTGGGGAAGTAAAGGGCAGGGGACCGCAGGGACAGCGAAGGGAGCTGGCTGGATGCAACTACCCGAGCCCGGGGGCGTAGATCTAGCGCTGGGCGGGGTCTCTGGCGAGGCGGGGCCTCTGGCGGGGGCGGGGCCGGTTTGCGGGCCCAGACGTGGCGCAGCGGCCGGGTGGTTCGCCTCCAGGCTACGGATCGTTTTCTGCCAGGTATCAATGGGCCTCCTACTGTCGCCGCCGCTGCTATTGCTGCTGCTTGTGGCGCTTGTGGTCCCAGCCACTGCCGTCATCAACTATCGGCCGAACTGGGACCGTCTGCGTGGCCTGGCCCGGGGCCGGGTAGAGGTGAGTGTGCCCACCCCCACACCCGGTACTACAGCCCCCTCCCCAATCCTACAACCCCATAGCCTGACGACAGTTGCCAGTTCCGGCCCTAGGAGCACCCCAATCCCAAGTCCCTTTATTTCTTTCCTTGATGTTGCCGAGACCATCCCTTCTGGTCCTTAGCACCAGGATGCCCAGCACCCACTGTGGATGCCCGAGCCACCGACCTTGCAGCCTGGCCCTGCTCCCTGTTCAGAAGGCCGGGGGCGGGGTGGGGGGGCGCTCTGGACGTTATTGTTTCCGTACCCTAACTCTTTAAGATCTGTGACTCTTAAATCCTCTTCGCAGCCTATCCTCCCATCCCCCATCACTCCACGTTTTATGGGGATTCCTCCTTTACTCTAGTTCTAGGGCTTGTCTGTCTTTTCTCCTGGTGCATTGAACACTTTCTGAGAGCCTCCTCCCACTATGCAGAAGCCACGGAAAGGGGCTGAGAACTCGGTTACTACTCCCCACTTTCACCAGAAAATTCCCGTTCTGAGTCTGTCTTGCAATGTGACTTAGACCCTCACAACCTTTCTCTAGGGCTTGGTTTCCTTGCTGGCATAAGGAGGGTAAGAATAAGGGAGGCATTGAATAGGTAGTCCTCCTGTTGGGAGGTGGCCTCCCCTCAAGGAATGCAAGGTGAGGCCTTCAACCTTTCCAAGTCATAGAAACAACCAGATGGCTTGTGGGAATGGGCCGCAGGTGGCTGGTAGGGCTTACTCTGCATGGGGTGGGATAGGGACCAGATGGCAGGTACTGCTAATGGGGGCCCTCCAGGGCAATTCTGAGCTGTTTCCTTCTGGTCTGTCTCCACCCTAAGGTTTCAGGGGCAGAAGGGCAGCCTGAGAGGCACAGGGCTATCATTTTTGTCTCCTGGGCACTGGAAGTCAACAATCAACAGGGTTCAGCCTCAGGGCTAGTAAGCTCCCTGTGGGTCTCTAGCCTTGCTCCTCTTTTCCTGGTGTCTGTAGACCTGAGTTTCTCCCCCTGTACACAGTTCCCCTTCTGCCTATAAGGGACCTCTACCTCTATCACATCCTGAAAATTGTTCATCTAAAGATAATTCACAGCCTGACCCATTCAGAGATGAGATAGGGTCTTGATGGGGGTAAGATGGGAGGGAATTCTGACCTATCCCATTTTGTTTCCCTCCAGACCTGTGGAGGATGACAGCTGAACCGCCTAAAGGAGGTGAGTTTGTTGGAAGGGCTCTCTAGGTCTGACTCTCCTAACCTCTTAAAGAACAGGCAGCATGGTCTTAATATTTGGGGGCAGGGGGGAAATCCCAGGGCTTGGAGTCAGCAGCCTGGGTCTGACTCAGTGCATGAGCTCACTGGGCTGTAGTCTCTTGGCTGAGGAGGGGGTTGGGGTTGTGTTCTCTGATGCTCTGGTTCCTCCCCAGGTGAAGGCCTTCGTCACCGAGGACATTCCATTGTAGTATCCTTCTATTCTGGAGAAGGGGAAATGGGGCAGGCACTTAGAAGAATCTCCTTCTACTTAACTTCAGAGATAGAGATGGCGAATGATTTTCATCTGACAAGTAGAATAATTCATATTGACTGCCCAGAGGATTCTGAGATGGTCTCTAAATTGAATAGTAAGCAAGAGATTGATTAGTGAAGCGAGGGGCCCTTTACTTCTTTGAATCCTAATTTCCTCACTTCTAAATGGCATCCCTGCCCCATCTGGGTACCGAAGGCAGTGCTGTTCACATGAAGGCCCCGATCTCCCTTTTCCTACTGCTGTCCCCCCTTAATACCCTCTCCAGCCACAACCTGGTGATGAAACACCTCCCTGGGGCGGATCCCGAACTCGTACTGCTGGACCATCGCTACCAGGAATTAGAGGTGAGCCCTTGGGAGGCGGGCGAGGGCGGAGCGAGGGGTGGGGCCCGACATGCTGATCCCGCACTTTCTCCGCCTCAGCGCGTCCCGCTCAGCCCCATGACCCGAGAAGAGATCAACGCGCTGGTGCAGGAACTGGGCTTCTACCGCAAGAAGTCGCGCGACGCGCAGGTGCCCCACGAGTACCTGTGGGCTCCCGCTAAGCCCCCGGACCACGCTGACCTGTAGGTCCGAGGGCACGGCGGAGCTGGAGCCACCCTATCTGAGCCCTGAAGACCGAATGAAGTGCTCAGCATCCCGGGAGCATCTCCCTTGCTGAGGACCGATGCCCGTCTAACCGGCAGGAATAGGGCTGGGGAAGTCTCTTACCTCTTCCTCCTTTTCCAGCTCCACTAAATACTCTCACACTTAACTGAGGCTCAACTTGTTGCTTGTTGCTGCGGGCGGGTGGTGCGGAAAGTCGGAATGCGAGCTCCCGCATATCCTCGGGAGGGCGTACTTGCCTGGCTTCGGAACTCAGGGACCTTCCTGGGATAACGCCCAGCGACCCCCACCCACAAAAGAGGCAAAGAAATCAGGATCGTTGAAAACCAATAATTTATCAAAACACTGCGAGTGTATGCGGGGGAGGGTGTCGCGACAGATAGGGCAGCGGTGGGCAGGCGCACAGGGAGGGGACGGTGCCGGGAGGGTGGGGGTGGCACCCTGCTGCGGGCGATCTGTGGGGGAGGCTAGACATCCTTGCCACGCAGGCGCAGCTCGTGGCGCCGCAGGTGGTTGTAGAGCGACTGCACATAGGTGAAGACGCACTTGGGGTCGGGCTTCTTGCCCATGATCATCATGTCCTCTACCTCCACCAGGGGCACGCAGTCCACCAACATCCTGCGGGAGGGGGGGGGGGAGGGACGAAGGGGATGCTGTCAGCACCGGCCCGCCTCTTTTGGCGCCCCTCTACCACCTCTACCCGCCTCTTTTTGGCGTCTTTTCATTGGCGCAGCCTGCCAAACTTTGCATCATGTGGTTATAAAGCCTTCTGGAAAGGCAAGGAAGTCCCGGCTTGGGTCCACCAGCAAAGCCTAGAGGCCACACTGCGGGGTAGCGGAGCTAGGCAGGTAATAGTGGAGAAGAGCAAGACCCTTTTCCAGTCAGGCAGGTTTGGGTCTGTTCCCACTCCTCCAGCTCATGGGCGGTCCTGACTCCACACCCCACCATATTCGCTCCTGAGACCGCCTTTGGCTCACTGGCACATTCCAGTTGTTGGGGGGCTCTCAGCTGGGCCATTGCACCAAAGAGGCTGCACCATTGACAGATCTTTCTCGGAGGCCAGGGCTTGCCCCAGTGACACCCCCTGAGCCTTTGATAATTATCTACCAGCGACCTAATCTAGTATTTCCTGCCAATGCCCCTTGTTCTTGCTCCAGGAAACAACCATACTGGGGATATGGGAAATGCAGGCTATGGAGTGTGTGTTGGGAGGCAGGTGTTCTTTAACTCTTTATCATCTGCCTTGGGTACATCAGAGGATATTATCCCAACCAGTACTGACTGGACCATGCTCAGATGGGTAGATCATCTTTCTCATCATCTTTGAGTACAAGCTGCACTTTAAATATATGGAAACTGAGTCACAGAGCAGAGGAGCTGTTGGAACCTTATAGCTCAGTAGGTCCTGTTAGGACCCAGACCCCCAGTCCTGGCATTGGCCTGCTGCCTCCTTTTCCCTATTGCAGGATCCCTTTCCCCACTCTAGAGTAGTTGTGACTATGACACAAGTGGCAGCCCCAAAAAACTGAAGTTGGAGTCTGCTCTCTGGCTTTGCTTTTCTGTTTCTCCCAAATGAAGACTCTTCTGCCTTCTTCCCTCTCCCACCTGCCATGCCTGGTACATGGTAAGTATGCAGGCAGTGCTGTTGAATGAATTTGCTTCGGCAGAGAGGACAAGGCCAGGGACCGCTCCTGTTTCCATGACACAGGAGAGCCTGAGACCATCTTCTATCTTGCACCTTCAGAATTAAATCCAGGACTGTGGGTAGGGCTGAAGCTACTCCCAACTCAACTGGACTCCTTTTTGGAAGAAACCCAGGAAACAGAAAACCTCTTCAGTCCAGGGTCTGCTCCAACCATCTGTGGATGCTAGATGAGGCCTGGCCTACTCTGTGACTCTTTCCTTCTCCTTATAACAGTACAGTCTTTATCTCTCATTTGAGACCTTGGAAACACTTAGGATGAGTAAGATACGCCCTTAGGATTGTCCGTGCCCCAAGCTAGGCGTGTTTTCCCAGCTGTACGGTGGTGCGGAGGCAGCCTCTTTCTGAAGCTTCTTCCAGCTGTGGCTATCTTCCCAGGGATTCTGGCTTCCCTCCCCCAACCTGGAGCTCCCTCCACCCTTGGTGCCTTCCCTGGAGACCTTATAAAGCCATTGTTTACACTGGGGCACACGGCTCAGGGCTTAGGCAGCCCTAGTGTCAGGCCAAACACCAGGCAACTGGAGCAACAGTACAGCTGAGTCACACTTTCCAACTGGATCAGGGTTGCACTAGGCTCGTCTCCTTCCAGGCCAGCTCACTGGGCAGAAGCTCCTAAGTCCATATATGACCTGGAGACAGTGCCAAACCCATCTTTCTTTCACCTGCACCTCTGAGTAGATGCACATAGGATGTCCCCTGCAATGACCCCAGGTCCTCAAGGGCATCTGAGGGCACCCTCATTGACTCCTGACTTCCATTACTTTGAGCAAGCCCCTTGCTCCTTCTGAACCTCTATTTTCACTCATCTATATAAAACAGAGGGAAGACAGTAATAGAGCAAGGAAGAGAGCCACTGAATGGGGAGTTTGGAGAGCCAGTCTCTGGCCTTGGGTCTGACCCAATTCCCCACCCTGGGGACATTTGAGGTCACATTTCCTCTTCTCTCAGGAACTGTCTTAAATGGGGCAGTTAGTTCAGGATTCAAATTCTCTACTATAGCCCTAAAGTAAGATGACCAGAGAGGAAATGCCCTAGTGGCTTAGGGACCTACAACCAGAAACATCTTTCTATTGAACTGCCCTATTTCCAAACTCCCCAGCTTGGTATATGACACCACCAGATCCTCAGTACCCACACTGAAATCTTGGGAATAGTTCTGTTTAGTTTTTTCCCCAGTGCTGGTGGTCCAACCTAGGGTTCCTTGAATGCTAGCAGATGCTCTACCACTGAGCTACACCCCCAGTCCAAGAGATTTTCCTGTTCCAGTCATCTAGTTCATCCCAGGCCTCATCCAAGGATTGTTCTACAATGCTAACCTGACCATATCCATCCTCCTGCTTGAAAACTTTGAGGATTCTTATATTCTTAATAGGAAGTTCAAACTCCTGACTGTGGCCCCTTCTTTTGTCCTCCTACCCCAAGACTTAAGTTTCTACCCTTCTCATATTCTCTCTCTCCAAGCACTGGCTGATCCTGTCTGTAATTCCTCCCTTCCTTAGTCTGAATGTCTCATTCAGATCCCAGCTTAGTTTGCACTTTTGTCAGAGAGCCATCTTGGGCCAACAGCCAGAGTTGTGCCTCTCCTGGGAGTCCATGGTCTCTGGGGTTTTCCCCATTACAGTCCTTCTCACCTGGGTTGACACTGCTTATTAGTAACAGTTTCTCTCTGTATGCCCTGCACTACTAGAAGTCACGGTTCTATCTGCCTCCTGTATGCTTTTATAAGGGTCCCCCTGCATCCCCCACCCACCTCCCTTTCAGTTCGCTGAGCCCGATGAGTAGATTCCGGTGAAACAGGGCAGGTGGGAGAGGCAGTGTTTCTCACCGTGGGGCCCGGAGCAGGGGTTAGGACTTTTTGGTTTTTACCAGCCCCTTCTGGACCAGACAGCGGTAGAACTCCTGGATGTACGTGTACACGCACTTCCAGTCAGGCTCTCGAAGCCGCACCATGTCCTCTGTATCCAGGAGTTGCGGGCAGTCCGCATGGGTCCTGGGGAGGGTAGGGGGCCAGGAAGGGGCAGGTAGGCAGGGCCCAGCCAGGGAAAAGGGGGTAGAGGTTGAGAAGAGAGAAGAGAGGAGAGAGACACACACATACACACACACACAGAGACATGAGTTCAGTTACGTTCTCAGTGCTGCAGTCTGCCAGCCCCCCGCATGCCCCCTCCCTATTGTGGACGTGCCGCTCACTACCCATCACTAATGGTGTGCAATGCAGACAGGGGTGGGGGGTCAAACCAATCACAGGTGCAGAGAACTCTTGGGGCAAGCGGGGAACACGGGGTGGGGGCATTGGCGTTGGCATCGAGATTGGAGAGGGCTGTGCCCCGGGGAGGGGAGGTGAGGGAGGCGTGAGAGAAAGTGGGGGAAGAGGAGGAAAAAATCTAGAGAGAACCAGAAAAAGAAGGGGAGAGAATGAAGGACAGATGGAGGAGGGTGCTGAGGGTGAGGTGAGCAGAAGGGGCAATGATTCCAAAGTGGAGGGCTTGCTGATGTCCTATATAAGCCTCTGGCAGCACCTATATAGGCTGCACGGGCACGGTGCCCGGGCCAGGAGCCTCCTTTTGGAATCTCCAGCCGGGACCCCGTGGGAGCAGGAAGCTCTGGTGATAGTGGGAGGAGAGCAGGACAGAGAAAAGGAGAAAGGAGGGAGAAGGGGCGGAGGGAGGAGGGAAGGAATATGGACAGGGCCACCTGGTGGGCTTTGGCCTGGGCTGGTAGGCACGCCTGCCGCTCCTTCCTTCTGGCGGGCACCTGGCACACTCAGCAGCAGGTGGGCAGGGGGCGGAGGACAGGGACTCTGGGTAAGGGTCTCAGCTGGATACCAACAGTGTGGTTGGCCAGCTCCAGGGGGTCTCAGGGCAGCTGAGCCCAGCCAACACCTGGGGTCCACACTTACTCAGCAGATGAGAAGGCCACTTCAAAGTTCTGGCGCCGGTTCTGTGGGCTAAGCTGCCCATAGTCAAAAGCCTCAGGGAAGAAGTTGTGTACCAGGGCACAGAAAGCCATGCCATCACTCCAGCTGGAGGAGAAGTTCTGGATGTCCACATGCTATGGGTAGGAGAACTGGTCAGGATGCTAGTGGGTAACTTCTGTACCCAGCATGTCCGCCCACCTCGGGTTCTGGCATTCTAGATCTAAAGCAACTGGGCTTAGGGAGGCCCTGCAGCCTCAGGGTATAAACCTCCTCCAATCTGTCAACTCACATATCTATGACTTAGGGGGACAGAGCTATGTGTATGGGGAGATGACCATTAGGCTGAGAGTAGGTGCCTACCAGCCCAGGCCAGGTGGCTCAATGCCACTAAGCTAAGTCCTCGGTCATATCTCTACCATTCCTTTCCGCTCAGAAAGTAACTCACCTCCCTATCCTTCCCCAGTGTAACAAGGCAGGCACTCCAAGAGTGGTCTTGAATTGAGCCCATCACTGAAGGGGCCCTCATTAGGCCCAGAGTTTGGGCCCTAGAGGATGTCATGTGTCCTCTCTGAGACTCAGTTTCCTCATCCCAGCATCCTGACTATGTTTTCTGCCAGGGCACATGGTAGCTGTGAAGCCTACAGGGGATGAGGGAGATGCTAATCTGGGGCCTGGGAGGGTACTGGGCCACCTGGCTTCCTAGGGCTTACCTCATAGCCACGTGTCTTGGCTCGGCACCAGTCCAGCAACATCTGCTTGATACTGTTGGCGTTAGGAACCCCAAAGCTTGTGGAGCGCTGCACACCTGTGCGAGGTCCACCAGGGCTTCTGCAGGGGCGTGTCAGAGCAAGGTCACCACCTTAGTAGAACCATCCTGTGGATCCCAAGGCCTTGCCTTCCATGACCTTCAGACCCTTCCCACCACAGTTCGAGCCCTGTTGCTCCCATCTCTGGCTTTGCCCATCATCACTCAGGCCCTAGCCTCTTTGGTCATTAGGTCCCGCCTCTGCCCTCTGCTCCTCACCCAGAGGTGCCTTCTTTCTCCAGCTTCTCAATCATGGCTTTGCGAGCTTGCGATGCTGAGGTCTTGGGCAGACTCTGTGCCTTCATCAGTTCTTTCTTTTTCTCTGCCTGGCGTTTTTCAAGTGCTGCCAGGCTTCCAGACCGTGGGCTGGCCTGGTCCTCTCGGTCAAAGATGCTGTGGGTGGGGAGATGACCATTACACTGGAGAAACCTTGCTCCTGATCATCACTTGCTGAGACAGGGATCCGGTAGTCTCCTCCACACCATGTTATCTCCACTACTTACACTTCTGAACAGCGAGGAAGGTGCTATGTCATCATACTCATTTTACAAAGCAGTGCATTTTGGACAAGCAACAGGAAGTTGGGAGTTAAGCTTTCTTAATCAGGCGCAGCCACCAAAAGTTCTCAGAGAAGGTTTAGTGTATTTTCAAGTTGAGAATCTGGGTTTCATCAAGTAATAAAAATGACCAGCATAATAGTAATGGCAATAATAATAATAACTCATGTCTGCTGAGCCTTTTATTTTTTACAGTGCTGAATATGGACCCCAGGGTCTCCTGCATGGGAGGTAAATTATTTTATCCCTGGGGTACACTCTTAGCCTTCTTGTGCATCATTTTAAACTTTACAAGGGGTACGTGAGGGGACCTACACTATTTCCACTAATGACAAAGAAATTGAGGCCTCAGGTAATAACTTGCCTAGATTTCAGAGGACAAAGGGGGCACTCTGAAAGCAAGTCCCTGATTCAGAGTTTCTAGAACCTCTGATCTCTGGCATGGATTCTGATTCAATCCCTGCCTTCTGTTAGCATTCCCATCTTCTGTAGCGTGGAGGTATACACCTCTCCCAAGGGGTAAATTGCTCTATAACTTGGGAGACAGCTTGCAGACACTGAAAAGTGGCAGTGCCAGTAGGCAGTGCCAGGAGGCCTTTTTAAAAGTTTGATATTCTTGCTGCCTCTCAGAGCTGTGAGACCTTAAGCAAGTCTCTGTCTTCCCTGAGCATCTACCTTTTCTGGCTGAGGACTGAGACCATGAAACAAGCAGGAGGGGTCTAACTCCCACTTTGTTCCTCCTTGGCTGTATATCTAACACCTCCCAGCATCTCAGTCTATCCCTCTGCAACGCCATGAGGATCCCTGTGGTATGCAAGTAGGTGCCCATGCCCACCTGCCCATTTTCTTAGATGAAGAAGAGGAAGACGAGAAGGTCTTGGTTTGCACTGTAGTGCTGCCACTGCCATCTGCAAAAATGGGGAAAGGGAGTGAGGTGAGATCTGAGTCTGGACATCAGGAGATAGAAGAGACTGTACAGAGAGATGGTGATAACCACAGGCAAAGAAGAAAAAGTGACGGCGCAGATGAAGACATAGAGAGAGTGGTTGAGGAAGAGCCCGAGGAGACGAGTAGGTAGGCAGGCAGGCACAGGGTGAAGTCAGGCAGCCTTACTCTCCGAGCGCCTCACAAAACTTGACTCCACTGTGGTGGTGCGGGCTGTCCGTGTACCATCATCTAGAGACATAGCAGATGACAGAAAGGGTCACAGGAGGACACTGGGGGAGGATGTGATCCCACCCTGAGCCCTGGTTGGTCCCTTACTGGACTGGACAAGCCGCTCGGTCTTGGTAACAGTGCTGACAGCAGAGCCATCAGCTGCTCTCTGGCTGTGCGTTGTGGTCATCTCTGTGGATGTGTTGCTTCGCCTCTCCCCTGGCCGGCCTCGTGCCTCCTGCAGTCGCTGTTCCCGTTCCTTGTCCCGCTGGTCTGGGCAGGAGATGCCCCATGCATGCCCAGAAGGGTCACCCAGTGCCCACACAGCACATATGCATAGGCACACAGGGTACAAAAGATGGGATGGAGGGCAGCTTGTTAGAAATACTAATGACACAGGTGGCAGGGGTCTCTCTAGGAGCATCTAGGAGTAAAGGGTGAGCCATAACTTGTCAGGGAGTGATATGACAATATGGAATAGTTAACCTCAAAGGGGCATTTGGATCCAAGAAATATGTTTCTATAGGAATGAGTAGCTGAGTCAGGAATGAGTATCTAGCTCTAGGGAGGAAGTAGCTGGGATCCAGGGAAGGAGAAGCTGGGTGAACACAGTAGCTAATTGATCCATAAAATGGGTCTTAGGAAGGAGAACAGCAGCTGGAGGAAGGACTACACAGATCCAGGGAAGGAATGACTGGAGGTATGGACAAGTAATCTGGTCCAGAGAAACATAGGTGGGAGAAAAGCTAGTGAAGGGGTTGACTAGGCCTACAGAATGTAGGCAGAGAGGCTGGGATGGCCACCAGTGGGCCTGGGGTAAGCAGCCAGATTTAGAAAGGGAGTACTTCAGAGTATCTGGAGGAACAAGTGAATCTAAAATCAGAGGAAGAATAGCTGTGTCTGGAGAGGACATTATCAGGTGGAAGAAGTAGCTGTGTCCAGGAAAGGGGAAGTTGGGTAGAGGCAGAGGCTAACGTGACCATCAGTGAATTTCAGACTGAGAGAAGCACCTGAGAGGAGTATCTGAATTCAAGGAAAGGGAGTTGATTGTACTTAGAGAAGGAATTGTATCCAAGGAGAGGGTGGCTGAGAGAGGAAGTACTTGGGTCTAGGACAGAGAAGGGAAGCTGCTCAGGGACGGTAACTGGGATAGGCCGGGGAAGAGAAGCAGCTAGGGAAGGGAGTAGCAGATCCAGGGGGAAGGAGGAAAGGGAGTAGCTGGGCTAGGGAAAGCGAAGCTGGGTAGGGCAGTTACTGAACTGCAGCATCCATGGTGGACCTGACTGAAAAGAGCAGCTAGAGTAGCGGGGAGCAGCTGGATCTAGCATAGGGCTCTCTACCTCTCTTCCTTTGCCTGAGTTCACGGAGTGCAGCCCGGATGCGCTTTCGCTCCTCAAAGTCTGTGCTCTGATCCAGCTGCAGAGAGAGTTGTTATTGAGCACTTGGGCCCTGCCAATCCCCACCTCTTTGCCAACCCATTCCCCAGTAGAACCACTATACCATCTTGTCCAAGACTCCTTCATCCTCAATGGCCATCAACTCCTCAGTGCTCAATGGGCTCTGCCCCTGTGGTGCTTTGTCCACCTGGGTCTTCTCTGCACCATTAGCAGCTTCCACTGCTGTAAAGGGAGGCTGCACAGGCTCTGGCTCCATCTATGTGGCAGGGAGAGGGCAGGGGTATGTATGAAACCCATCATGTCCCCAGTGGGCAGAAGACTAGATCCTGGGGATGTTGGCACAGATTTGGAAATGACTAGTAGCCTACCAGTCTTCCTGTCCTATGTTGGCCATGTTGGCATAAGGCTCAGGGAAGAGTCCCTGAAAGCTGTGTTGTAGGTTTTTCTGTATATTCACAATTATATTAATACAACTGATAGTAACAATAATGATTTCCATTTAATAGCATTTGTATAAACTTTAGGGCTATTATTGTCCTTATTCAACAGAAGGGAAAACTGAGGCTCAGAACTCCCACAGTCCCTCTGTAAAGACCATGTAGCCTGGTACCCTAGGCTTTGAGCTGAAGGGAACCTACATCCAGAGCCTGAGTTCTCTCTGCTGCTTCATTCCTAGTTCCCTCCCATGCAGGCTCTGCTGTGTCCTGCCAATTTCTGAGGCCTGGGTCCTTCTGGATCAGTGCCCAGGTGGCACATATCCCAGCCTCTCTTGCCAATGGGGCTGGGCCAGGGAATGAGGGTTCCTAAGCAGGTGTCTGACTGGAGTTTTCCTGAGCCAAGACCTCTCTGAAGCTCTCCTGTCTATCGCCTTCTCTCCCCTGTCCCATCCTGCTGGGAACCATCCTCCAAGGAGCCTCAAGGCCTGACCTAGTCCCCCATCCCAGGGCATTTCTCGACCCCAGACCAACTACTACAACCCCTCCTCTCCTGGCAGGGCCTCTTGTCTGCTAAAAGAGTAAGAAGAGCCAAGGTGGCAGCTGTTTCAGAGAGGCTTGGCCTCACTGGGGAGGGGATACGGGGGTGGAGCTGGGGGCTGGGCCATGCCAGAGGCGGCCAGAGCAGCTGCCATGCATTGCTAGGTCTATTACTGGCCCCCACTTGTCTCAGTCTTAGAGCTCTCATGTCCTAGTCTTCCATATAGATAGGTAAAATGAAGCTCCAAGAAGGTGGTGACATACCTAAAGTCACTCAGCCTGGCTCAAAATCACCCCCTCCCTCTGACCAAGAGGGACTTACGAGACTGCTGCTGTGGGTGGGGCCAGTGGAGGAGCAGCGGCGAGTGCTGAAGGCAGGTGGGTGGGCTACAGGGGTTCCAGCATCCTCAGCCGCCTGGAAGAGCGCCTCAGGGTCGGCGGCAGCCAGGAACAGCTCGCTAGGCTCCAGTTCAGGCTCAAGGTCCAGCACAAGTGGGACCCCCAAGCGTAGGCTCAGCATCTCCACCTGCCTGCTCATCGCGTCCAGCCTCCGGCTCATTGTGGCTGTCTCTACCCGCAGCTCTTCAGCTGCTCGAGCTATTGGCTCTATGGCGGCTGCGGCAGCCTCAGCTGCCTGGGTCACTGCTGCCCGGCCTGCCTCAGCCACAGCCTGCAGCTCCTTCAACACCTGGCCCAACTTCTCCTCCAGGGCTGCAGCCATCTCAGGCTCAGGCCCAGGTACCCCTGGCATAGTTCTGGTGGGAACTCTATAGGGTGTAATGTTGGGACAGTGGCAGGGACTGCTGACTATGGCTGGCAGTGTCAGAGTCTTTGCAGCTGGTCTGAGGGTGAAGGCAAGGGCAGTGGGCCCGCCCCGCCCCTGCCGGCCTCCCAGCCTGCCACCAGCCAGCTGGAGCTGGGGCCCAAATAGAAACCTATTCTGGGTACTCTGGAGGGGACACAGTGGGGGAGGGGTGGCCTGCCCAAGCAGGCGACCGCTAGTCTTGGCCCTGGTCCTGCAGAGACTGTAGATATACAGCATGGCAAAGCTGCATAAATTCTTAGGGATTACTTAGATGAGGGCTCTAGGCTTTGCAGGTGAGGAAACTGAGGCAGGGAGCAGGGAATAAATCTGTCTAAGCCAGCATGTGTGTTAGATAAAAGGATCCAGTCTGCCACACTCCACAGCCTGCCCAGCTTTCCTCTCATGCAATGCTGTTTTAGAAAGCCTTAAATAGGTGGGGATATGGAGGCATAGGGAGGTGGGGCTTTACCTACTACAAACAAGTCTTGACCTTGAGATAAATGTCCTTCCCAGGACATTTGGTCCTTCCCAAATCCAACCACAGACTCTGAGCAAGTCATTATAGGCATACCACCTGTTCTCCCTTGATGGTAACTGAGGCAAATTGGCAGTACTATACCTAGGTCTCACTCTGGCATCTTCCATCCATCCCAAACACCTCAGATGTACTCACCTGCTCTGACACTCTACTTCAATCCCTTGGTAGAGGGTTTTGCTTTGTTAGAGGAAGGATATTTTCTTGCCCCTATTTTCTCCCATCCCTGAGAAGGTCCAAACCTGGCTTTAAACATCTCACCTCAGTCAAAGTCCTGTTTAGTCCCTGGATCAGCACAGAGGGCATTTACATGGGCATCTGGGTAGCCCGTTAGGGGATCCCTTCCCCAGCTGAGTTCCCAGCCAGTCGATTCCAGGCTTGGGAATGAATAATGGAAGGGTGCAGCGTATTCAGTTCCCGTGGCACCTGCTAGGCTACTGCCTCACCTGACTGGTACCCCCGCCTGTCTGTCTCCCTGTCAGCCCCCAGCAGGAGGATGATACAGATGCTAATCACTAATCTCCAATCCCCTAATGGCTCAGGCTGATCATGGATGAGCTGATGAGCTGCTCTGCACCTTGCTGCTGATGTCCAATATGGAGTGGGAGCAGGGTCACTGGGGCTGCCACATGAAGAGAGAGGCAAGCCCCTAATATTCCCTGTGAGCCTCAGTTTTTCCATCTGCTCATTAGAAATGAACCAAATTATGAAGTAAGGATCAAAGATCAGAAAACAGAAAAGCTACGATCAAGTGAGTTTCTGACATGCTTGGTGGGTAATACACTACAGTTTGATCTTAGTTCTGTCACCGACTGGCTATGGACTGTGAACAGCCACTTTTCCTCTTGGGGCCTCAGTTTCTCTGTATGAACAGTGGTGGGAAAGTAGAGTGGAGGAACTCTGCTAGCCCTATACCCTTAGCAGTTTGTGCGACATTATGGATGATGAGGTTGGTGGGGTGAGAAGGGGCTCACCTTAGTGCTGCAGCCTCTTCGGCTACCAGGGGAGGCATGGCTGAAAGTGGTGACTTGAGTGACACCGCCCATCCGGGTGAGGGTCCCAGGGCTGCTGACATGGGTGATGGTGCTCTTGTTGCCACTGCCGGTGTTGAGGAGGGTGGGGGGTGTCCGCAGCCCCAGTGTCAGTTCTGGGCAGGGAGAAGGATGGGTGTCAGGATCCGTGCAGTGAGGGCAGGGCCAGCCAAGGTTGATGGCACCCTTGGTTCCCACATCTTTTGGAAAGATCCTGACCCCTGGCCACAGCCCATGTTCTACGATGTGCAGAGATGAGCGGCTACAGGTACTCATCCCCAGTAGTGGGGAATTAGTAGGGAGGCCTACCTGCCCTCTGGTTGCTTGTGGGTAGTAGCACCCGGCCTGTGGAAGCCTGGCCACGGCCATCCTTGATCTCGATGGTGAATGTGGTCTTCATACTGCCCCCTGGCTCAGCAGCACTGACAGCCACAGGCAGCGGGGCACTGGGTTCCTCTGAGCAGGCCACGGGCTCCCCTGCTCTGTTTTCAAGGGACCTGGCAGCCAAGCCCCGCCCTCTGGGGCCCTCCTCTTGCGGGCAGCTCTGAAGCTGGGCCAGGGGCTGTGTTGTTCCTCTTTGCTCCTTGCTGGACTCAGAGGAGGTGTTACTGGGGCCCCGAGAGGAGGAGCTTCTAGAGGAGGAGGCAGGGGTGGTACTGATGATGACAGAGGAGCCCAGAAGTCTTGTGGGAGTTGGGGAACCAAGGGTTGCTCGAGTTGGCCCATCATGAAGCCTGGCAGCCATAGGTGAATCAGATGCGAACTTGCGGACACGATCCCTCACAGAGCCAGCCCGATGGAATGGGGAATGTCCAATGCCAAGGGGGGTGGACTCTAGAAGGGATAAAAGGGCTGTCAGTGGCTGGGTGGCACAGGAAATGCCCAGAGCCTGGGGCTGTTAAGAATAGGCTGTACCTTGATTCTGGGTTGGCTGTCGGGGGCTGAGCACGGACAGAGAACGCTGACAGGGTTGGGGTCCAGCCAGGTCTGGCAGGTTGAAGAGGGAGGGAGTGACAACCAAGTGAGAGAAGGGAAAGGAGAGTAGATAGTGGGGAGCCCACTTATATTCCTGTCCTCCACATATCCCGAGCCTCCCAACTCCTCCATGTACTCCACCTCCCCACCCTTTCCTGCATTGCCCACTGGTTAGGCTTTCCTACTCTGCCACATTTCCAACAGTTGCTTCCTTCTTACCCTCCCCCACTGACCCTATGGTAACTTGGATACTCCTAGGGGCCAGGGCCAGGATTAGGTTGGGGGAAGAGTGTCCAGATCTTCCCTGCCCCTGGGGATGGGGGGCACTCCCGGCCAGCACTGCCCATGGCTCCCTCTGTGAGATGGGTGCACTCCCTTATTGGGGAGAAGAATGTGCCTGAGGCCCATTGCCTTTCAAGGCTGCAGGGAGGCCTCTGGCCATGGGTGGCAGGGGTGGGCCTGCCTGGGGGCGGGGACACCGCAGGGGCAGTAGAGGGGGAGTATCAGGGGCTGCTTGGACCCAAAGGGGCTGGAGCTGTCCAGGCATCAAAATTTATTCTGCAGGCAGGGAAGAGGCGGATGGGGTAGAGAAGGCAAATGCCTATAGCTACCCCTTCTATGACCCTTTACCTGCTCTGTTTTTGTTGGAGGGGCCTCTGGTGGGGGATTGGGCAGCTGGAGGCTCTGTGGAGCCAGGTAGGAGCTGCAAGGGAAACATAGTATAGGTAGGACTGACTCCTAGATCAAGGAGCTCACCTGCCTGGGACCCCTGCCCATGGTCCAGACTTACCTTGTTGGCTGCCTGCCTTTCCATGTTGGGTTGGGCCAGTGACTCTGGAAGCTCAGGGGTGGGAGTCCTGGGGGTTCTGGGAGGTGGCTCAGGGTCGCCTGGAGCCTCAGCAGCAGCACATTGGGCTCCAGCTAGTTCCAGTGGAGGCTCAGGTGAAGCAGTGGAGGGTGAATTGTCAGGTGAGGCAGTTGAGCTAGGTGTGTCCCCAGGTGGGGGCCTCAGCAAGAGTGTCACTGTAGTCACATCCTGGCTGGTATCCTCAGGTGTTGGAGTTGGCTCTGAGACTTCTGTCTGCTGTTCTTGTTCCTTGTGCTCTGGCACCTATGGGGGACCCATCATATGCAACCAAGGCTCCCTTGCCTTGAGTACCGCCCCCACTCTTGGAATATCAGGCTGACAGGTGCCCAGGGCATGCAAAGTAGAAGGGCTGGGCATGGCTTCCTGTGGGCACACCTGCCCAAGCCTCTGATCTCCACTTCCCAGTCACTTGGCACTGCCCTAGCCAAAGGTTGTTGAGGGAGGACCAGTTCCTAATGTCAGTATTTGGGGATAGCAGAATACCTGCTGGGAGCTCCCAGCTGCAATAGACTCTTGGAGCAGAGGACCCGGGCCCTGGCCTCGAGGAGTAGGTGCAGAGTCCTGCTAGGACCAAGGACTCAGCGGCCTCTACTGGCCATTTAGGGAATCTGCATGGCCTGACTTGACTCATGCTTGGAGAACGTAGAGGACTCTGCCAGTGCTCCAATGACCCAAGCTAAAGAAGGAGGCTATCTAGAAGGTAAGGGCCAACATGGGGATGGGTTTATGCAGGAAGGTAGCAGGTCAGATTTGCCTTTCTAAGAGATCCTTCTGCTGCTGAGTGGAGCCTGGATAGCAGAGATAGGAGTGCAAAGTAGGAGTGGAGGTGGAAGAATGCCTGTGTATCAACAAGGATGGTGATGGAGGAAGCGGCCAAAACCTTGGAGCAACACAGACAGGCTAGATGTGAGGGGAAGGCCTAGGCAGAGGTAAAGTCTGGAGGTAGGACATGTGTCCAGAGGTTGCCTGAGATAGTGCCCTAGTGTTCCTTAGGGCTGGGGGTTGCTGCTCACAGTCAAATACCAAAGACAGACAGGCACCCTGTGCCACTGGCATCTGTGTGCATTCCCGGGTCACCCTCCCACCATATGCCCACTTCTTACCTCACACTGTTCCAGCCTATGTGCTGCTTGCTCCTTGCTCTCCTCTCTGGAGCTACTGTTGGGACGCCCACTGCACAATCTCCCAGCTACAGTAGCAGCTAGAAGGGCAGGGGCAAATGTTAGGCAAGTGGCCAGGAAGCACTGCAGGCAGCAAGCAGCAGGGCAACAATGGGGCCTGGACAGGGCACCTACCCTCAATTTCCTGAGCCCGTACACGGCGGATGGCAGCTCGGATCAGCTTGCGTTCCTCATACTCACCAGCACTTCGCAGCTGCGGGTGAGAAACAGGCCCCAAGTGTTGAGCTGTGGAGTGCAGACCTTTTGCCCTACCCCGGTCTCCTGCCCTGGCCTGGGACTCACCAGCGTGGTTAGCTCCTCCACATCATTCATGGACTCCAGCTGCTTTGCCAGCTGTGCTAGGGCAGCCCGCTGTTCAGCTTCCCGATGCTGAGAGCTGTGGAATATCATGCTGTAACTACCACTACCTTTGGCTAGGTTGTGAGCCAAAGGTAGGGGCCAGGGGCCAGGACAGGGTACCCAGAACCTTGGCAGACGGCGAAGTAGCTATCAATGTAGACCCCCTTGTCTGCACATTGCTACATGTATGTCCCTGGACATGGGGACATGCAGTCATATGAGCCACACTTGTGTGACTAGGATATCATGATCAGCACATGGTCCATTATCCACAAACATCCTTGCATACTTCAAAGTGTGTACACATTGCCAACTGAACGCATAGCAGGCATACCTGTGCTTACATACACGAGCTGCCTACATACACAAGCTAAGCCCTGGTACATTCTCCCTACCACATGCATGTCTGATCCTCTGCCACTCACTGCAGCCAGTTCTCCTTGTTGTCCTGTCGCTCAGCACGGAAGCGCTTTGATGCCAGGGCTTCCTCCTCGCGCTCCAGCTCCTGCCGCTGCAGCTCCCGGATCGCTGAACGAATGCGCCGCCGCTCTGCCAGATCTGATGTGACCTCTAGCTATAAGGCAGGTGGGGGTGAGGGGCAGGTCATTTTGGCAGTTAGGGGCGGAGGGCTGGTACCAGCTACCCACGGTTTTGCCTGGAGCACAATGAGTAGCCTGTCTCCACTCAGTCTGCTCCAAGCCCTTCACATGCCTGATCACCCACTGAGGTTCACAGGGGGAGGCTCAACTCAGGGATCAGGGAAGCATGCTGCATGCTGTGGTTCACAGAGCACCTGCTGTGAGTAAACAGCTGGCATCTGCCCACCTGTATCAGGTGGTAAGCAATCAGGCACTCCTTCCTGTAATTAACTCTTGTCCTTCAGAGCCCCTCATCAGACCCCCAAGAGTCACAGCGCCACTGTAAGTCCTACTAAGAAGAAACCTGGAGCGCAGAAGCAACTGTGCAACTTGCAACTGTGGGCCAGACCTCAACACAAAAGGTAAAACAAATGCACCCATATGCTTCCTAAGGGTACACATCAGAGATTGGTATTTTAAAGAGGTATTGTCACCCTGAGGAAGCCAGGAAGAGCCACTAACCCAGCTCCCTAAAGGAAAAGCCTCTGTTCTGTATTCATGCCCACTTGCTACATGACTTGCTTTCCCCATTGATCCTAATTTAATCAATTTTACCAGAGCAATTATATTCATAATCTTATTGACTGACCATAGTTCTGTTTCACCTCATGTCCACGTTGTGTTTTCCCATTTTTTCCAACCTTGGACCTGTCTCATTTTGTGGATTTGCCCTATAAAAATCCTTAGAAAGGGCTGGGGATTTAGCTTAGCGACATAAGTGCCTGCCTGGCAAGCACGAGGTTGTGAGTTCAATCCCTAGTACTACAAAAAAAAAAAAAAAAAAAAAAATCCTTAGAAAAGGCAGGGTCCTTGGTAACTCACTTGGGACTACATCTGTCTCTTTTTTAGACAGACGCTTTCTTTCTCCCAAGAAATATATTCTGCTCTAAAAAAAAAAAAAAAAAAAAAGAAAAAGAAAGAAAGAAAAAAGAAGCCCTGGAGAAGAAAGGGTGATTGGTTAGCCAGAGTGCCCCTGGAGCAAGGAACACTTCCATGATCTAGTCCCAGCACACCACAGATCTCTGGTTAACTGAAGCAGGGACAGCTTCTTAAGAGTCTTCTAGCTCCCTGCCTGGCTGTGGAGTATCTATCTCCACCCTCTACCCCTTGGATCGACTTTGACCTACCCCTAGTCACAATCAAAAGAGCTAGGCCCCAGAGTAGGGAGTGTCAGTCCCCCGAAGAGATAAGATAGCTGGTCCTAGGGGATGCTCAGATTCCCAGAGAGGGTATATGTGGGGGACAGGTACTCCTGTCAGCTTCTTAATTCTGCAGGACATTAGGGGCGGCTAGTCTAATAAAGTTCAATAAAGGGCACCTTTTCTGGTCTGAGTCAGTCAAATCTGATGTCTCCTTTAAACCATCTGGAAAAGCCATCACCCCCACCCCCGGCAGGGTATCCTGTGTAGCTCAAGGGAGAAGGCTGATCCAGGATCCCTCACGGAGTCAGTGGCAGAGATAAGCCTTCAGTGTGTGGTCTGATAGACAGATGGGAACAAGTAAAGTCAGGTGACTTCCTCATCCCCAAGTATCCTCTATCCTCTTCCTTTTTAGCCTTCCTCTCCGTCAGTCCTTCCTGCTTGGTAGGGAAGTTGGGGAGCTGGAGTAGGTGGAAAGAGATAGGTTTCAGCAGGGAGTAAGGGCTGGCCCAATTCAGCCATTAGTCAACTTGCCCTGGTCTGAGGAATGGCGAAAGCCTTGAAGGACAGAGCCCTGGAGCTCCACATTCCTTCAAGAGCTTTGGGAGCATTTTCTAAAACTCGGGCCAGAGCTACCTGTTGGTTCTGTCTGGGTGGTCAGAGGCATATTCTTATGCCTCTCTGTTTTCTTGTGTCTTTGTTTCTTTATTTGACAGATGGGACAAAGGCCCCTATCTCAGGGAGACGGATGGGGATAGAACAGTGACTTGGGGTCTGGCCATCAGGAGAGGGAGAGAGGAGAGTGAAGATGGGAAAGACAGGACATACTAAGCACCTGACTGTGTCAGTCCATGTGCTAAGCCCCCACTAGGCCTCACCTCACAAAAAATCTAGATACAATATTATTCCTGACAGAAGAAGAAACTGAGGCTCAGTGGGAAGTGATTTGCTTATGGTCAAACGATCTGAATTAGGATTTGAACACAGGATTTTATCTGCAGGGTCTACCCTAGATTTGAAGAAAGCCATGATGTGGGGGCCTGATTGTTAACAGCAGGGAATCTGAAGGACCCTGGAAATGTGTTGGGGGTCCTTCTGGCCTGAGAGAGAAATGCCAAAGCCCACGGTGGGGCCTATTGTAGCAGAGGGAGGGAGAAGGAGCCTCACCTTTCCTAGACCACTTGGAGACTGGGGATCTTAGGGGCCAGCTGGCCCTCCTGTGCAGGGAATAAAGAATCCTAGAAGTGTAATGACTGGTCCTTTGTTTTCTGGGTCCCCATTCCAAATATCCTGGGGTCCATATATACAACCCTTGTCCCTTAAAAAAGAGCCTGATGTGGCAATTAAGCTACTTCTGCAACCCCAGGAGCCTCAGGGTGGTGGACTCCCTAGAGGTGAGAGTGCACAGGCATCTGGCCTGGCTCTCTCTGTTTGGGATGCTCTGACTGTGTTACCCACCCTTCTTGAGGAAAGGTTGAGAGCTCCTCATCTGGAAACTAGGAACCTCCCTCAGATCCCCCTAAGTGGGTGGGACAGGGCTGAAGGATGGATTTCATTCCACTGGGCACTCCTTGGTATAACCCTTCCCTTTAGGCCTGTAGACAAAGGTCAGCCCACAGTGTCCTGGCTGTGTCCTATGCTCCCCACCCTCTCAGGCACCACCGCTGTGTGTGGAGGGAGGGAAGGAAGTACAAAGAGCCATTGTCCACCGGGGGAAGGGGAAAAGGATGGGGCGGTTTCGGAAACTGCCCAGTGAAATTCTCCAGGGAGGAAAGAGGGTGCTTCCTCCTCCCCGGAGGCTGGGCCTTTGGTTACTTTCTGCTTTCCCTGCTGGGGTCATCTGGCAGCCTCGAGTCTCTCTCAGATCAGCCTCCCCATCTACAGAGCAAAGGTCAAGTATTCTGGCCCTTCTTTGCTTATTCCCAGCACCCCAGTTACTCGAGTGTGACCAGCCGGCAGTGGAGCTACACCTCACTAGAGGGCGCACAGGCTCGCAGGCTCCGGAACAGCCCGCGCTCGCAAGGCCCGCCCACACCTCTCCCACCCAGCAAAGGGCTAGGCTCAGAAAAGGGAGCTAGACAGGAAGCCCCCGGCCACCGCCTGCTTTAATGTCCCAGTCTACAGAGAGGAAACCGGAGTTCACAGAACCTGAGCTGCTTTCCGGGTCATCACGCTAGAATGCTGGAGTCGGAACTCGAACCCAGGGTGGAGGCGGAGGTGGAGGGTGTGCCTGCATGTGGCATTGGGAAGCAAGGTGTGCATGTCCCCAAGTGCCCCCATCCAGTGCAGCCCATCGCGAATGCCCTCGGGAATGTGAGGGAGCTGAGGCCGGCGGGGGTCCCCAAGTCAGCTAGGGTGCTGGACGGGCAGAGAGAACCCAGGACGTGGGGGGAGGACCCCAGATTTCACTTAAAAGGCCCGGCCCCACAGGGAGGGGCCCGGCTCAGGATGCCCCCGTTTGGGCCAAGAGGCTGGGGGGGGGGGGCGCCAGGCTGGTGCACCAGGAGCAGAGACAGCGAGAGCGGGGCAGTAGAAACGGGTCTGGGGGTGTCGGGAGTCACCGCGGTTGGTGGGAAGCAGGGGTTGGGGCAGGGGACTAGTTGGTACTTTCCCAGGGAAAGGGGTTTGAGATCGGCTGAGCAGACTTCAACCATTTTACTAATTTCTTCTCTGAAATTCTTTTCCTTCACTGAAATTCTTTTCCTTCGCTAATGACTGAAGAACCCTGAGCTTCCTTCAGTGTGGACTCCCTAGAAATGAGGGGTACTTGGGCACCTGGCTTGACTTTCTGTTTGGGACACTCTGATTCTGCAACCCCCATTAGGACTCTTGATTTCGTGAGGGGAAGTTGAGCTGACCAGTGGGCACCTTTGGAAAACCAACCCTATCCCCTCTAGGTTGAACAGTCTGTAGGGTGGCTAGTTGGGGGACACACCCAGTTTGTCTAAGGCACTGGCCTTAAGATTCACAGGTCAGGTGCTTTGCCAAGGACATGGCAGCAGCTGGCACTGACTGTAGGCTAGATTAGGGTGAGTGGCTCCAGCCTCTGCCTCCTGAGGAGTGGAATGGGTCATTTGTCTTTCCCTAGGGAAAGTAAATCTTTAATTTTCTCCCCTAGACAAGGGTCAGGGTCTGGGAGGTGGGGCTCTGATTTCTCTTGCAGATCAGCTGCTCCTGGTTTTGCTGGTGGTAACATCCTTGCCCTGTTGTGTTGCTCCACAGCCTCTCTGTGCAAAGAAATAGGAAGACCCTGGGGAAATGAGTTGGAGTTGACCCATCCCATCTCTGTCCTGAGATCTGGGCCCATACTTTGTTCCATTCCTGTGCCAGCCCTAGCTTTTGTATTCACATCTCTTCCTCTCACTCTATAGATAAAGAAACAGACTCAAAATGAAAAAAATGACAAACTAGAAGACCCAGAACCTATAGGGACCACAAAGCTGGTCTCTCTCATGAGTTCTTCCCAACTTGACTTTCCTAGTGTCATGGTCCCTTCTGGAATCTGGATCCTGACATAGCTCCTTTGTGCAGAGGATTTCATGTCTATGAGGGGCAGTGTCCTGGCTCTTGAAGCTGCTGTGAGAAAAGTGCATCCAGCCTTCCCCCTGCTATGCCCTAGCATTATTAATCATTGTTGCTACCATTATTACTGGGCCAGCTCTCCAGGGCTGGGTACTGCTAGGGCTGTTGCCTAGAAGAGGCAGATCCAGTCTCCCCACACCTGTGGCTGCAGATGGGCGGGTCTCTGAACAGTTACTGTTTAAACAGGTGGTGGCAGTAGGGGGCTGGGAGGCACCAAGGCTCAGCACCTGGCACAGACAGCCAAATGCCAAAGGGTCTTCTGCATCAGCCAGTTGGAACTGGCCTTAGCCCCTGCTTGACCCCCTTCTCCTGACCCGTCCTCCATTACCTCTGAGTATCAACTGAGAAGTTGCCTTGTCTGGCCCTGCCTCTATGGCCTGTCTTGCCCACTGCATAGTGAGGTAACGGGGCAACTTACCAATTTCCGGAGGGCTCCCTCATCCAGCCCAGCTAAGGCCTCGTCTGCCATCCTGCTGGCCCTTAGCTCTGTCGAGACCTTCCTGGTGATATCCCCAGTGCCTATGGCACCTGAAACCAGCTGAGGGAATTCTGCATGGGAATGAAATGAATTGTTAGGTTTGCTGGAACTTCTGGAAACCACACGAACTTGGGCTCTGTGCCTCAGTTTTCTTCTCTATCCCATGAGCATCCACTGCTGTCCTATCCTTGCTTGCTGACTCCGATATAGCTCCTGGCTGGGATCTCCCCTTTATCAGAAATTGGTTTGCTGGAAAACTCGTCAAACAAAGAATAGGTATCCCTGTTCCAACCCTGCAGGCTGGGCTGCCAGTCTGTTGTATAGCTTAAGGTGAGCACTCATCTTGTCTGCACCTCAAAGAAGGGTAGGGACCTGGATTGGGAAGCTGGGGTGGAGGTTGGGAGGCCCATCCAAGGCTGTACTTAACCACCAGGGGGTTTACACCAGTCTCCACTTTGCTGCCTTGCCGACCTATCCCCAGGGCCTGCCCAACACCCAGTCACTGTGCAAGCTCTGTCTCTAGCTATGGCCTGAGCCCATGTCCAAGTCTTTGTTGCCACAGCCATTCAGTCCTCCAGGTATGGAGTATATCCTCCAGATATACTGTCTCTTATTTCTTGGAGTGATCTCTCTGTGTACATCCTTCTCCATTTCTCTCCTCCCCATGATGTCAGCTGTCCCAAGTTCATGGAAGACAGGTGTCCTGGCACCCAGCTCCTCCTGCCTGTTCACACACAATTCATTTCCCAGCTGGACAGACCTCCAGAAGCTAAACTTGGTGGATTTGTTATGGGGGATGGAGGAACCCAAAGATTTAAGAGTATAGGAAGAGATTTAATAAACATCTTGGCCACTTCTGGCCTCCAAAGTCCCCTTCCAAACTCCCAGAAGCCATGAGCATTCCCCTTTGCTCCATTACTGCCCATCAAACAGACCCTTAATTCCTGGCCCAGACACCTAGTCCAACTTCCTCCTGTAGCCCAGATGTCTTTCTGGAATTTGAGAGTCCATGACTTAGCACACCTACTTGCCCAGGTTAACCCCCCCCCCCCAGTTGATTCATCCCTCAATCATCCCTTCTCTCCAAAACAGTCACTTGTTGAGTCACCCATCTGGTGGATGGGTCTGGGGGAGTCCTGATCATACAGTTGGGGTTTGTTAGACCTTGCATATTCAAGTTACTACTTGCTCCTTTCACTCTGATAGATTCAGGTGCGTGTTAATTTCGCAATCCCTTTCTGTTAGGGTCCACACCCCTTATCTAGCTATTTTGCTTGGAGAATCCTCCACTACTCCCCAAAAGGATCACTCATTACCTTAGGTAATGAGGATATTCTGTGCTCCTCCTGTTTTTTCTTTTGAGGGTCAGGGTCCCTAGTGCCTAATTTTGGGCCAAGGAGACTAAAAGGTCTGTCGCTATTCAGAGTCCTGTCTATAGCCATGCTGTCCTGAGCGCGCCCGATCTCATCTACTCATATTCAGTCTGCTGCCCTCTCACCAGTCCCGTGCTCCCTGTCATATAGTCGGGGTTCTTGGCGATCAGGAGAGTCCTCGGAAGTCTGTGGGAATTTCCTCGAGGTATCTGCCCCCATAGGCTAGAGCCCCTGGGGGTCCTCTGAGGGGTTGTGGAGCCTCCTGGAGGTCCATGGGTGTCTTTCTCCCATGGCTTCACAATCTTAACCTGTGGCTTAGTGCTCCCTTGATTGGGTGGAGGCTTCCCAGGTCTGGGAGTATGGAAGCCCCTATCCAGATATCCGGGTTCCACCCTTGGGACCCATCGGTGGTTCTGGCGCTGCCCGGAGATCGGCACACCCACCTCTCAGTCCAGCCCGTCCGTCCGGCGCAGGCTCGGGTTAGCTCACTCGGGATCCGACAGAAGGTCTGGCCGTGGGGAGCAGAGACCTGGGTTCCCAGGCCCGCTCAGCAACCGTCCCCTGGACTCTGCTGGAGCCTCGCGTCCAGCCGCTCCAGCAGCCTCGCTGGCCCCGCCCAACTCCACTGCACTGTCCCAATCCTCTGTTGGGTTCCGCCCACCCTCGTGCCTCATTGGGTAAATTCAATTTTAAGGCCACGCCCCGAGGGAAACCCTGCCCTTTTCTGGCCAGGGATTTTGGGTATTGTAGTTTTGGAGCTGCGGCCGTGCTGTCTTTGCAAGTCGAGTGAACATTCGCACGTTGTTTGCAGGTTCTGTGCCAAAGCTAAGGAGGGCTTCCCGAGAGGGGTAAGTGGCCTAGGATCCCACGAGTCCAGAGCAGTCAAGACAACGTCCCCGCCTTCCCCTTTGTTAGTGAGACCACGTCTCTTCCCTCAACTCCACCCACTCGCGTCAGTGCTAAAGCGCTGATGCTGCCACCCCCCCCCCCCAATACTGTGTTGGGAGCATTTAGTCTAGGACATTTCAGAGCAGGGGCTGAGTGACCAGCAGCACCTTGACCCTGTGTTAAACTTCCCGGGACTGAGATGGAGCAGAATGACTCACACAGGCTATGCATCTCTGCACAAACGTTACCCTCACCTCGCATGTTTTCCCCTCCAAGCTCTGCAGACGCTTGTCTGTCAGAGTGCTGGAAGCCTACAAGGGAATATGAACTCCAGACTTCTATTCAACAAATGGGAGAAATTGAGGCCTAGAAACAGCCAATATTTCCAAACAAGGAGTCATTCAGGGGATCCATGTGCCCAGACCCACAGGGAAAAGCCACTCCCTCTTGTGTGCTGGAAGCCTCTGGAGCTACCCACAAGTCTCCATGGAAAACGAAGGGGTGGAATCTGAGCATATGGGGCTCTGAGTCCTGACTAGTAAATAAAAAAACTTTAAAAATATTTATTTATTTTGTCCTTGCATATAACAATCCCTATTATATATATATATATATATATTATATATATATATAATCCCTATAATAACGAAATGATGCCAGGATTATTGTCCCATTATACAGATGAGGACAAAAATCCAAAGGTAGTGGAGCTGTGTTTCATACTTAGGACTTTGTGTAACTAACCACTGTAATATAGAATACTGAGGATATGAAAAAGCCTGGTTTCAAATCATCTGTGACCCATTCCCTCTACACATTCATTTAAGGGGAGACCCAGTATCCACTCAGAGGTTCTTTCCCATCTGTCTTCTCATTTCAGTCCACCTTCCCTAGAAATGGTTCCCATTTTACACATTGAATAACCAAGCACAAGGAAAGAAGTGATCTGTGGGATACATGGGATAAGAGGGGTACCGACAGGGCTCCAAACAGAATCCAATTTGGAGAATATAATTTGAGGCCTTAGGCTATCTCTCCCTGGCTTAGGTGCCACCTTATTATCCAAAACGATGGTGAGCACACTCTAAGCAAATTCTGTCACATTTGTGCATCCCTTGAGACCACCCATTTGGGCAGTGCACACCCAGATTCCTCATATTCTCAGGACCTGCTTGAGTGGCAGCTTTTGGTACCAATGAATGGGCTGCTTATGGTAGCTGTGAGTCTGCTGGTTGGGAGGAGACACAGGAGTGAGTGCCTGCGTGTCTGGATGTTATGTTTGATCCAGTGTAAACTCACTCCTAGTGGTATGACAGGGATGTGTAGGTCCTGGCCTGTTCTGTCATCAATCTCTTATGGCTGCCCTCCAAACTTACTTGTCTGCTTTTTACTCTTCCTCCTTGCAAAGGGTGGTGCCAAGGGAAGGGTGTGATTAGTGGTGGTGGTGAAATGGTGATCTAAATATCAAAGGGCAGTCCAGTGCTGATACTGGGGAAGTTTACAGCTGAAGCCCAGGAAAAAGTAAACATCCTTTGGGAAGGTCCTGCTGTTTGCTGAGCACCTGTTGCATATCAGACAACTATTTTAGGTTGACCACTGTGCAAGATAGATATAGCCTCATTCCACAGAGGAGGAAATTGAAGCTCACTGAAGTAAAGGCCCTCTGGGCCAGTAATGGCGTGAAAATAGTGGAATTCTGTCAAGTGTCAAAGCCTCTTTTCTCAACCTTGATAGCAAACCTCAGTGGAGGTCAGAAGGGCTGAATGGACTCTCAGAAGAGGGGTGTGTAAGTTGATCCTTGATGGTGAGTGCAAAGAAATTTGCCCTACAGAGAAGAGAGGAAAAAGTGTGGAAGGATACTTGTAGAAGAAAAACAGTGTGAGCAAGATCTGGGAGGCTTGTGAGTTGGAAAAGGAGGAGAATGGGCTGTGGGTGGGATAGGAAATGGGAGTAGTCCCATCTGAATGACAGGTGATCTGGGTGAAGTTATGCTGAAAGCATTTAGGTTTATGCCTCCATCTGCTCATAAGAATAAGTTGGATTGGCCCACTTCAGGCCTCTTATAGCAAAGGGATATAAGAGAAAGGATTCCTATTCTTCCAGGTCCAACTCTGGACTGGCAGGATGGAGTGTGGCTGGAGCAGCTCAGGAACCAGGAGTAACATTTTGTTCCACAGTCTAAGTCTATGAATGAATCCCTGTGTCACCCACGCCATTACTCCTCCCAGTCAGGGTCCTACAGAGAAAGCCTAGACTTGGGGACAAGAGGCAAGAAGAATGATATTCTTAGCCCTGACTCCTCCCCTTATAAGGCTTTGGTCCTTTAAGAACCTCACTTTCCTTATCTATACAATGGAGGTATTATGTGTGCCATGAATTTACTAAGCTTACGTCTTAGTTACTTTTCCCATGGCTGAGACAAAATACCTGCACCCAAGGTTTAGAGAGGAAAGGTTTGTTGTAGCTCATAGTTTTTAGAGGTTTCACTTCGTAGTTGGATGGTTCCAAGGCAGGGTGGCATGGTAGAAAGGCATCATAAAGGAGAATAGGTCATGGTGGACAGAAGGGCAGGAGGGCAGCAAAGCAGTAAAGTACTAAACAGCAAGCAGTAAGTGACAAGCAGCAGCAGCAGCAACCCTCTTTCTGTCCCTTATAGTCAGTTCAGGCTATACACCCTTAGAGTAACTAGCACTACACCCAGAGTGGGCCTTCCCATTATCTGCACCCAGAACTACGCCAGACCTATCAGTGGACTAATTTAATAATCATACACCCTTGGTCCCAGCATCACAAAACTTAATCCCAGTGTCACACACTCTACATCCAGCACCTCTTAAAAAATCTCTACCTACGACTGCATGAGGCTTTGAGGGGATATGAGGTACAAGTTATAATAGCCTATTCTACCCGGCCTGGACAATAAAAAATGGTAAGATTTGCAGGAAGACCATCTTGGGATGTATCCACAAATGGCTATAATGCCAGCTGAGGCTGGGACCTTGGGCCTATGGGGGAAGCCCAGAGGCTGCTGGACAATAGAAGAGATGGAGGAGTGGAACAGGGTAGAGTTGGGCCTATGGTTGGGGGTCTCATAACTTAGTGGAAGTAGGGGGACGATGGGAACTGGATTTTATCAAGTATAGAAAACAAAGCCTTTATTTGATCTAATATGTGAGAGAATAGAGGAAAAGCAACTGAGAGAAGAGAACAACATAAGCAAAGGGAGAGATGCACGAATGTGCACACTTTGCAAGGGAATTGTCAGGTAAGTGAGGCTGGATTATGGTGGCTCCAGAGGAAATCTGGTTCTTTCTGGGGGTTGGGTCCAAGGACCATGACTTGCCCCTTGTAGGTGGAACTGGAGGCCCCCAAGGTCATAGCCAGCAGCCCTAGAAGTAAGATTGAGGACCTGTTTCTCAAACCAGTTTGGCAAGATCATCACCTCTCTGATGTCATCCAGCTTGGGGTTTTTTGAGCAACAGTGCCAGACAAATTTTTGGCCCAGGAGGAGAAGGGGCCTGAAATGGCCTCTGTACAGCAGTGCATTCTAGAACAGCCTGGTAGACAAAGGGAATGTTCTGGATAGGCCAGCCTGGACCTCTTGTGACTTCTCAGAGGTCTTTGGGGTCTTGCTGGCAGGTCTAGGTTCATGGTGAAGGCATCGTGTAATCATTGTCTGCTGGGTTGAACCCAGGCTCTCCATGACTTTTTATAATATACGTGTGGCAGGGTAGTCACTATGACCCTCATAGCTTGGGTCCTGTGAGGTTTCTCCATTATACATAGGGGACAGGGTTAGCAAGGCCAAAATGTACTGGAATTTTACACACAATCTGAATTTAGAGTCTTGTTCTGAATCACGGTATTTCCACTATTTGCCATTTGGGAGCTCTGCACGTAGGGTGCAGAGCTAGTTAGATTTTAAAACTTGCTTTTCTACTTGTGAATGTAGCTGCTGAATCTTGGCATCATAGAGTACAGGATGCCTACCTCATGGTCTGGAAAGGTAACCTGTTAGGTCATTCACCTAGTTAAGAATAGAGGCGCTCTGCATTCCAGCTGCCTAGCTTCCCAAATCTCTTATTTTTCTCTTTGTGGACTGGCATACTTAAGCATGAAATACCAATAATAACTGGCATATATTAGATTCCTACTGTGTACCATTCATTCCTTTACACATCATCACAATCCAGGGCAGTAGGTGCTGAGATGTCCATTTGACAGATAGGGAAACTGAGATTCAGCTAGGGGTGGTGACACATGTCTATAATACCAGCACGTTGGGAGACTGAGGCAAGAAGATTGCAAGTTAGAGCCCAGTCTGGGCAACTTTTAATTTAGGGAGACCCTGTTTCAAAGAAAAAAAGGGAGAGACAAAGAGAGAAAGGCAGAAAGAAAAGAAAGAAAGAAAGAAAGAAAGAAAGAGAAAAAGAAAGAAAGAGAAAAAGAAAGTGAAACAAAGAAAGGAAAAAAGGAAAGTCAGTTGGGAATATAGCTCAGTGCGAAGGGTCTAGGTTCAATCTCTATTATCAAAAACAAACAAACAAACGAACAAACAAAAAACCCAGAACTAAGAAACTGAAATTCAGAGAGGAGAGTCACTTGTCCCAGTAGCACACAATGGTAGTGGGGATTCAGTGAGGTGTGTGGTCTCTTCCCCCTTAGCAGATCCATAGCCTCAGTGGGGGCAGGGAGCCTCAGACAGAAGGGTGGATGACGGATCTGCTGGCTCC